CTCATGTGGTTAATGTTGTGGTGTGATGCCCATTAGATTCTCTGTGTTGTGGGCACTTTCCCTTAAGTGGATAGAGTAGATATATACTCTTTCATGTAGGTGGCCATATCCAAGAGGGTAAAAAATATGTCATGATTATTTAATATTGTTTTCTTTCAAGCGCTACTTAAAAACCCCCCCAAAGAGGTATAGCCAATAGGATAGAAATAGGGTTTGACACTTTAAGTGACAGACAATTATGTGATGTTTATTTTTGTTATATAAACTGCTTTTAATCCTCTTCCTATTTTGCATACTTAAGTTTTTTATATTTTAAAATATATTTATTAGATTTATGATGTATGTTTAAGCCTGTGGGATACAGTTACATGAGAGAAACCAAAAGGATGAAACCTCCTAGGTGAAGCCTTGAATACATCTAAAAAGCTAAAGAATGAAGACGCTACAGGCTAAGTCTGTAAAAATTTAACTGGGTTGTGTAATGACGAGCAAATCAGCTGCCAATTATAATTGTAATAATTGGACTTTATACTGTACTTTTCTGTTGATTGATTTTTATACATATATACATGTTTTGATTGTTTACTGAGCACGCATAAGAAATGCATGTTTTTTTTCCTAAGTTTATTCACTTGTTTTTGCTTGCTAGTTGCTTGGATTTTATTATGCGGTAAGCTCTTATGACAAAACTAATTTTTCTACCAATTAGCATGGAAATAATCTAAAATCAATCATATGATTATCAATTTTTTAAATAAAAAGAAAATTGTATGGTTCACTCTAATGAGTGAAGTTTTCAAAAAATAAAAATAAAAATTATCATGCATAGCCAGTTTCACATGTAAAATGCACTCACTTAAGGATTAGATAACAAAAATTTGCATTCTACAAGTGATGCGGACATCCGATCATGAAGATTTTCAAAGGAGGAGACGACGATCGACGACCGAGATCATTCCACCTTATCTTAATTTGTTATTTGTAATTTTTTTTATTATGAATTTTCTGTTTTTACCCTTACTTAAGAGGATCGTCCTATGTAAGCCCTAGGGGCACGTGTCTTGTTTTAGTTTCTTAGGCCTATATATGGAGGCCCTTGCTTGTGTAATATAATGATGGATTATTAATAAAAATTTTGTTTACACTTGTGTTCTTTGGAGAGAACTTGGGTGAGATTCCTATGGGAGTGAATCGGAGTTTCCACCCGCCACAGGATGGGTCCGGGCTCGTGGCTTGAAATCCCTTGGAGAAGGGTAATGTATTAGCCGTCAGCTGCAGGATGTGTCCGGGCTCACGGTTGTATCTTTCTTTCCCTAAATCCTTTTCTCCTCCTCCCTTAACCGCCGGCCAAAATCATCCACTTGCCACCAACCGATTCTCCCACAAACCTCTCAAAAGCCACAAGCCTCCTCCAATTTATCCATATCAAGCATCGGTCATAAACCACTCCACCACCACCTCCTATTCGGCCACCCTATCTCCTCCAATCCTTCTAGCCGTCGGCCACCCCCATCCCTTTTTCACTCTTAATGATGATTGAACATTTCAATCATCATTAATACCTACCAAAATTAGCTTAGCTAATTTGGGGTAAGAATTAAATATATTTAAAATTTAAATTTGAATTTTAAATACTATTCTAAAATTAAATAAGCTAAATTAGAAAAGTTCCTAAATTTAAGTCTAATTTAGAATAATGATTTAGGAAGTTTTAAATTCCCTCCCAATTCCCCTCTCCCCATTAATTACACCCATTATATCCTTCCTTAATTGCCGGCCTCCCTCTCACTTCTCATTAGATCCCAAATTAAATCCCCATTAGTTATTTCCTTATTTAGCCTCTTGTTATTTGGAAAGAATTTGAATTCAAATTCAAAATAATTTGAATTCCAAAGCTTTCTTATTAAACCAACTCTCATTTAGGAAATCCCTCAAATCTAAAATTAATTTCAGATTTAATTATCTCATCACATTTAGTGCTATGGTCCACATACATTGTATGTGGACATTTATACTCCCTCCCCATATGGTCGGCCCCATCTCTCTCTTATTTTAATTATTTCCTTCCTAATTGAAGGCCCCAATTAAGGAGAAAATTAATTTATCTCTTCCCTCCCTTCTTTTTGTATTTGAATTTCAAATTCAAATCCATTAATTAAGGAAAATATGAGATGAAATTTTAGCTCTTTAATTTTTTTATCACCCCCCCTTCGTTCTACATCAAAAAGTCAGCATATGCATACCAACATGGTTTGGCATCTTGTTGTAAGTCCTATTTTCTAAATCAAAATAGCTTTTCGTACTCTTAATACGCATTGAGATCAAAGTGCATGATTTTAAAAGTGGTTAGGTGAGTTTAGCTTGTATCCCTTTTCAGGTAGGGTTGTAAATACAGAAGTCACGCTGCCTTATGCCTCAAATGATGTGTAGTTTTTTTAAGTCACTTGCACTCTGTTAGACTTAGGTTCGAGGCACTACCCCTAAGTAGACTTCACCTTATTTCTGGACTCGAGATTGTAGTCGACTTTTAGTCACTTTATAAGCCCTCACATTTTGACCATTTACTTCGACATGTGCTGTTAGAATATAAGTTCCAACATTTTAAATTAAATTTGCCAGCTTAAATAAAAATCTAGTATTAATGTAAAGCCTAATATAGAATAGTTTGAGTATCTTTGCATTTTCTTAAAATCAAGTACTACATTTTCATTCATTTCACTTCCATTCATAAAATTTGATTTAAAAGTTGATCATATCTCCTTTGAAATTCTTAATGATCAAATCTTTGAATAAGAATTTTTCAAATTTAAAAATTAAAATATTAGCCAATATTTTGATGAATTTAAAGAACCCACTAGTTTAATCAAAATTGTTCTCAAGTAACAAATGTTTGAGATGTAATTAATTATAGGGGCTTTTCCCTATGGGGCATTTGTACCTCAAAATAAAAAAAAACTCTATTTAACCAAATATTTAATAGGGAAAAATCTTTGTTAAAATTAAAATTATGAGTTTTGTTATTGAGTCCATATTGAAAAAATATTTTTTTCCTTTGTTATAATATATGATTTTATATGTTGTGCTTGATCATAAAATATCATAATCTGTTGAGGATGATAAAAATTCTTCAACAGATTTTCTAGCGACTTCGCTGAGGAGGTGTCTTTTAATATAAACTAGTGGTTTCAATTAGTCATCTTAAATATTGGCTAAAATGTATTTGCAAAATTAATATATCTTAGCAACTAGAAGAATATGATCAGTAAAAAGCATACACCCGGGTGCAATCTCTTGCAAATGCCTAGTGGGAACACCCACGACTAAAGCAAAAAGATATGAGCTTAAGGTTGATCTTTGATATGTAATCCAACTGAAATAGGAAAATTCTTGTTCAAACCACCTTGTGTTTGAACACAAGTAATAGCTCATGCATACATATCCTTCATGACTTGAATATATGCATTATTAACCCCTTTCTTTTCTAGAATTCTCCATAGCACTTCTCTTGGAACTTTATCTTATGCTTTCTCTAAATCAATATATATCATATCTAAAATGTGATACATGTGATAAATGTCTGCATCAATTCTAAAATGATAGGATGTCATATTTTATGCTTGCACAAGATCTTCAATCCCTTTAACAAAGTGAACCCATTTTAGCAAAATGTAGTTGATGATTCATCTACAAAGTACAATTGTAAGTGTTGATTTTAGACTCAATCATCTACAAGCAAGCTAGTAGAGTTGATAACGTATGCTACAAAATGAGAGCTTTTAAAACATCGATGATGGTCATCTTGAAAGCAAATATCAACTAGCGGGGATCTATTTCTAAAACGCATTAAAATTCAAAGAAAATTATTGTGGCCCAAACTTCTATAAGTAAATATGAAATAAGAAAATTATAAATCATCAAAATATTTCATGTGGAATTTATTGTCAAAAGCTCCAAAGTAACCATAAGTATGAAATTCTAACAGGAATTTCATCCATAACCATTTTTTATGAGTGATAAATTTTAGGATAGTTTTCGCTCACAAAGTGCTAATGTCCAATCAAGCCTATCGCTATATTCACTCACAAACAATCTCTCATCTTGAAGGACTTGGACTTGTTCTTTACCTTTAATCTGTAGTTTTATTGCCTAATGGTATCAAAGGTAATTGATTATGAGTGAGGCTCTTTGATCGATATATTTTTTTGCAAAATAACACCATTTAATTATGATCATCGTCAGAACCCATAAGTTCCTGAATGCTTAAAAGTAATGCTTGAGTTGTAAATCATAGGATACACATGATAGGGCAGAAAATCCTCTATTAACTATTGAGTCAAATACTCAAATTTATCCCCTTAATTAGCTTTAATTGAAATTTCTCTCTTGTTATCGAGTGGTGTAATTAACCATAGGTGCTTGCACCTTATAAAAATCTGAAACTAAATCATAGAGTTCTTGCAACATGAGGTTGAAATTTTTGGGTTGTCTTATTTACAATCTAATATACATTCTAAAAATTATGACTGGACCAAACTTTCTCAATGGAGCTGAGTACAAATTTTCAAAGCCCATAATGGGTCTCTATTTCATTATGAATTTTCGGATTTTGTGTGATTGTGATTTTTTTTTTTTTTTAATGAAAAATGGCATGTTTGTTTCTTTATGTTAAAGGTTTTAAGTTTTTGCCAAAGTTTTGAGTTGGTAACTTGTGGATTGTATTTTTTTTTAATATTGCATCTTACCCAAAATTTTTTTATGACCCTAGACCCTTTTCCCTACGTACATAGCTTTAAGAAATTTAGTCACTTATTGCTCTGAGTTTTCCTTTGAATCCTTATGGTTTATTTTCATGTGTTGTGAATTTATTCTACTTGAATGAACGGGCCAGCAATCTTTAGACTATCATGTCTACACTGAACTCTTATTTTAAAGTGAATGTATTTTAAACCCCTGGAAGGAATATGCTAATTTAAGCTAACTTTTTTTTCCTTCTGTTGTAGTTGGACTGGCTGAACACAGAGTGGAGGTTCATTTTAAGGCAGGCACAGCTGCATATGAAATTATTGGAACCTTATATTGCATTTAGACATGCCATGCTGAAAATTTTAGATTGCAATGAATTCCTGTTAGAGCATTTATTGCAAGCCACTGCCACCCTTCGCAAGGTTCTTTCTATTGTCTGATAAATGACATCTTTTTGAATATTTGAATTATTTAACAGATTCGTTTGATTTACAGGGTTCCAGATTCTCTCTGGCGACTGCTGCTTTACATGAGTTAAAGTTGCTCTTTTGTCAAACGGAACACGAAACAAATCAGCAAACCTATGTCAGAATGAGGGTATAATATCAATTACCTATAATTTATGTTTTATCCATTGTGGTTGATTGACCGCATTATATTTTGAAAACAAGCCCATTGCATCATCTTTTATGACAGTTACAGTTTATAGCACTTTCCAAATATCTTTTATTACTTAACTTGCGTAATTGCCTTCTGATTCCAGCATCACTTTCTTAAGAGCTGGCAGGACCATGCACAGCATGTTGGTGTTAATGTTGAACCTCCGCACCAGCATTCGACGATGGACTTTATTATCACTGTGATTCCTTGTTTTCCCTTTATGGTTCTTTGTTTTCAAAACGCTATGTAGCCATTAGTCGTAAAGACAAAAATAGTGGGATTTCAAGACTGTCCTGCTCGACCTGATACCTAAACACACATTTAGCTGAAATCTAGAAATTTTAATTAATTCTCTAAAGTCTGAAATAACTATATGATCCTCCAGCATTTTTAAATCATATGACTTTTATTAAACCAAATCCTATTGAACTCAGCAAGAAGCACCCACCCAAATTCATTACCTTAATAAGTATAAATGAGCCTCTAAATTTTAATAATGCCTAAACCTAAAGACAATAGACAAGGGAAAGCAGAAACGTAAAAAAAGAAATCTATTATGAAAACTCCAAATTAATGAAATCAATTAATCTTATGTTTCCTTTGATGGATAAGTGCTTTCTTTTCCATGTCTCCATTAACCTCTATATGTTTCCATGATTGAATTGAGTACATGCGTCAATAATGACAACCGACTGATGTGATTTCTCACCCCTGATCTGGAAGGCGGTGCCCCTGGCAACACTGAACGTGATTAAGGAATAAGTAAAAACTTTTTTATGCTCAAAAGAAAATATTCGTATCTAGGTAATATAACATAATACATCTGAGTAAATAATGGAAATATTAGTAAAATTTTATTTTATTATTGTAAATCAAAATGATGGTACATCAATAAGATAGAAACAACAATATATTCAATGAGTGCTAAAATAAACATATGCTAAAATAAACTATCGAACTAAAAATATATAACTGCAAAAGTTTAAAATCCACATAGATCCTACTGCTTGTAAATCTGCTTTTGTGGTGATAGTCGACAAAACACTCTGAGATGACCTACTATGAGAAAAGGTAATAAGGGAGTTTGAGAAATCAAATTTAGCAAGTAACTTTTATTTTATTAAAGCATGAACAATAAGGAGATGGGGCATACAACATGAGTGACTAAAAGGGGAAGAGTACTTACATAGCAACTGATAATCAATGGATTATTGAGTAAATGATGCGTCATACATTATATGACAAATTACTTTGATGATATTACAAATATGTATGTCAAATTGTCATCAGTGTAACTTCATTTGAATGTATCAAAATACAATCATGCGACGTATAATCGTACCTTACTATGACTTATCAGCCATTCAATTGTTTGTTAGCTTATATTTGTTTACATATGGGAAAGTAAACACCAACTTGAGGAAATCCAATTATTTATATTAAAGTTGTCACTCTGAGGGCTTGTTGGCCCAACTAGCCATTATCTGATAGAGTTATGCCAACCTATTTTACATTTCACATATGCATACAATTTTTATATTTTTCATAAAATAGTTTTCAACATGTATTATATTGTTAATATGACAATTATGAATTCTATAACCAGTATTATTCATAGAAATATTATTTATTGAATTTAAGAGATTTAATGTGTATGAATTAAATTAAATGGATAAGAGTTCATGCAATAATAAATCAAGGTAATGTTAGCTCTACTATATGATAATTTTATTATAGGAGATAAACAAGATCTTCCACATATGCATAGAAATAAATATTGAAAGTAGGATTGACAGCCTATACTATAATAAATAACAACTACTTGATGCATGCAAACTAGAGAGAAAAGCCAAGTTGGAGAACACAAGGATAAAATAAAACCAAACTCGATTCACTATAGCTTGCAAACAACCAAATAAATATTCGGATAAATAAAAGTCAAATCAAACGAAACAAAATAATAACTTAAAAATGTTATCCTCAGTACAACCGTCTAGCAGTTTCCTCACATGCAACGAAAGTAGGAAAATATATGAAAATTGTGCTTAGGCTTGTAAACCGAGGGTCCACCACTGCAAAAGAGTCCAACGTCCTACCAAACTTCTCCGACAAATGTCTCCAAATTTAAGCCAACAAACAACTTCCAAGAGCTCAAGAAGAAGGATATAGGTGGAGTGGAGCTTGCGTAGAGAAGAAGGGGTTAGAAGCCAAGACGAAATAGAGAGGAGGAAAGGGGGTGGAACCAGCTCTCAAGCTTTTCCAAGAGAAGAAATCCTCAGGTTTTTAGAAGAGACTTTCTCAAATTTTCAACAACCTGTCAAGCCTCAAATCAGCCCCTATATATAGGAAGAAAGGGGGAAACCAAACAGCCACTCACCTCTATTCAAACCAATGAAAAAGAGGGAAATAGAAGGCCAAGAGACATTCCAAATAGCAGTTGAAAAGGCATCCCAAATATCAGCCAAATTCATTCCAATCAAGCTTACAAGGAGTGGAACCAGCAGAAACCGAGGAGGTCAGGAAAAAGGGGGGCCAAACCCCATTTGCATTTCACGGGAATAGAAACAGCGACGGGAATACCGAGAAGACAAAGGGGAATGGAAGAGACACAAGTCCACTCCACAATAATGAGAATACCTTTTTGATTTTATGAGCTAGGAAGTGCATTTATTCCTCCAATTAAAGAGCCAAACTTCAGCTCAAGCATTAATGAGCTAACACCAAGTAGAACCCAAATTTTAACTCAACACCAAGCATCCAAAGGCCCAACCCGAGAGCAGCAAACAGCCCCAATCCGAGAACAGCAAGCAGCCCAAGGACTAGAAGGACCCAAATGCAAGCAAACCCAAGGCTTGTCATGCCCAAGCACTTCCTACCATGATCATTGGATGATCTCCATCGTTGGATAGCTTAAAAAAAAAAACATAAAACACAACTAATATTGTTCAAAATACATCAAAACAAAATAGACTAAAAAACATGAATGCATCACTACTTATTAGTTGGTGGTACCAATTCCAAATTTATTTAAGATCCACTAAATTTCACCATGCGAGGGTCTTGCAAGAAGTGAAACCAATCAATTATAAGCACAGCATAAAATTGCCTAATATAATATGCACGTTAGCACTATTTGTGCTAAAAATGGTTTAAGGTGCTCACCTCGAGGTGTTTATATGAGGCATACACCATAGATTGATTAAGGCGTGCCTTACCTCAACAACTTGAGGCGCACGCCTCAAGTTTTTTATTTTTTTAATTGTTTAAAAAATTACAATCTAAATAAAATGCATGCACATAATCCACTCAAGATCGGGGGTCATTTTACTATGTGATGTTTTTGTCTCTTGTGAAGAGCCATCCTACTTCACTTGCCACCATCCCCTCCCGCATAGCCTCATGTCATAAACGCTACCACTAGCTACTCTACTAGTACCTGACACCCGAGATATAAGCAAAGACCAGGAAGAGAAGAAAAAGAATCTATAACTTATTGTTATCTAAGTCTAAAGTCACTCATAATGTGATGTGAAACAAATAACAGAATTGCAGGATTTTATTAAGAAATTTGTTTTCACAATGAAATTGGAAGATTAATGTTTCACTAAGTTAGGATTTTCATTTTTCGTAGTTATTGACTTGCTTCTAGCATGCGGTTACACTATAGATTAACAAAGTGATTCAAGACAATAACAAGATGATAGCAAGACAAATATGCAATTAACAATAATCCAGCAATTAACAAATAGAACTTTCACCTTCAAGTTTCCCTCTCGATCGCTCTTTGGAAGTAGGGTTAGAGGAGGATGAAGGTTAGCAAACCCAGTGACGCAACTGAAAGACAGAGGTTGCCGACAATTTTGATCAACGGAGAGTTGGCCGGAGTTGAAGAGACGGGTGGTCGTCCGACGATCTTCCACGATCCTGTTGGTTGTTTCTCTTCGATGACGTTCGCTAAAGTGAAGAGAATACACTCCGCGTATTATTCGACGATGCCTTCGGATCCAAATCCGGGATCGAAGAAAGGTGATTGAATGATGTCAATTTCCTTTTGAGAATTGTAAATGAATTCGTGATCATCTTCCGGATCCGCCATACATGGACATGGGAGGACTCTTTGTTGTGTGCCTTGGAGGGGAGGTCCGGCGTTTGGTGGTCGGGAAAGGAGGGGCAACGGTTTGGGCTAGGCAGGATGAGGGAAGGGACGGCTAGGGTTAGTGGAGGGGATTTGAGGTTTTAATTTCTCCTTTTTGAAATTAATTATCCAAAGAGGGTAGTTAATTAAAGGAAATAATGGGGTGGAGGGAAGAACTAGAATTCAAAATTTGAATTCAAAATTCAAATGAGAGCTAGGGCCTCATTAGGAAAAACCATGGTGATGCCAATTAATGGGGCTGGCGACTTCATGAGGTGAGAGAGGAATTATGGAGAGATTTTGGGAGTTTCCAAATAGATCTTTGTATACTAGGAAAGTAAATAAGAAATCTAATTTAATTTATTTTAAATCGGATTCATGACTAAAACTATCCTTATTTGGATTTTTAAATAAGGAACATATTTGAAATTCAAATTTGAATTTCAAATGACTTAAATCTCTCCCTTAATTGCTTGAGTTAATTTAGGAAGGGAGTTATGATGATTGAAATAAACATAATTTAATGGGAGCAAGAGGGGAGGCCAGCGCAGGGGAAGGGGGTGAGGGCGTCAGGTGTGAGGAGAGGGGTGGTGGGGTGGGACCGGCCGTCGGGTTGATGAGGTGGTCGGTGGCTTGTTGGGTGGAGGGGCGGCGGGTAATGGGGAATCAAGGGGAGGGGTTAAGGTTGTTGGTTTGGGGAGAAAGGGAGGGGATTGCTGGCGGTATAGGGGAAGAGGGAAGAGGAAGTTGAAGACTAAAATAAAGAACCAAGAACTTACAAAGAGATCGTAGAACCACGAATCTTGGACTCCTCCAAAGGTTGGCGGGTATTGCTTTCACCCACCTAGGGTTTCTTCTCAATAACTCACTAAGAGATCAAAGAAAGCTTAAATTTTCTTCATCATTCATCATTCAAAAATAATACAAAGACTAGACATTCATATATGATGCATTTATATTTTGTTTTATTTTATTTTGATGTAATGTGAATAATATTAGTTGTGTTTTATGTTTTTTTTTTTTTTTTTGAAAAAGCTATCCAATGATGGAGAGCTTCCAATGATCGTGGTAGGAAGTGCTTGGGCATGGCAAGTCTTGGGTTTGCTTGCATTTGGTTCCTTCTTGTCCTTGGGATGCTTGTTGTTCTCGGTTTGGGGCCTTGGCTGCTCTCGGGTTGGGCTTTGGTTGCTTGGTTTTGAGCTAAAAAAGTTGTGTTCTACTTGGTGTAGCTCATTAATGCTTGAGCTGAAGTTTAGCTCATTATTTTGAGGAGTAATTACACTTCCTAGCTCATAAAATCATAAAGGTATGTGGAGTGGAGCTTGTCTCTTCCTATTCTTGTGTCTCTTTGGTTTCTTCCTTGTGAGTCAATGCTATGGTCTGATTGTCTTTTCGTTTCTTCTCCCTGGTTACTTTCCCATGACTCCTCTTAATTGCAATTCTTGTCTTTTGCATTTAGTATCACATCACGTTGGACCCTTTTGCAGTGGTGGACCATCGGCTTGCAAGCCTAAGCACTATTTTCATATATTTTCCTACTCTTGTTGCATGTGAGGAAACCGCTTGACGGTTGTTCTAAGAATAGCATTTTTATGTTTTAATTTTTGTTTTGTTTGATTTGACTTTTCGTTTATCTGGATGTTTGTTTGGATGTTTGCAAGTTAAAGTGAATCGAGTTTGATTTTATTTTGTCCTTGTGTTCTCCAACTTGGCTTTTCTTTCTAGTTTGCTTACATCAATATATAGGTCTCCAAAGCACAAAATATAAAAGACACAAATGCCCTCAGGCTACAACATGACACAAATCCCTCATGGAGGTACAAGTGAAAAACTGAAAAATAAAATAAATGCACTAAAACATCATAAATAGAAACTATGAATTGTAGCTGTCGATCTACGATCCTGCCGATGGTAAATACGTCAAATTGTCTGGTGGATGTCCTCATCATAATGTCTACAAAAATAAAGAGAAGAATGCTAGTAATGTAGAAGTAGTCAAATAAAATCTTCTTTATGTTGAAGATGATGCTGAAAGGAGTATTGCTGCTGTTTTCTGGGCCAAGAACCAGAAATTGGCTGTGCTTGTTGGCTGAACTAAGTGACAGCAGCATTCTTGATGGAAAGGGAGGATGACAGCAGTGACCTGGTCTTCTTGGAAGGAGTTCTGGTCCTTCTAGTCAACTGGAATGCAGTTTGGTTGGCTGGAAGAAGAGGATTGATGCCACAGGGACTGCTGGTTTGCTAAGGAAGTGGCTTTCAGCTGGAAGAAGAGGGCTGTTGGCTGGAGAGAGGAGAAATTGTTGGAGAAGTAGGCCGGCCGGCAGAAGATGTTGTGGGGTCTCAATGGGCTAGGAGGGGCGGTCGAAGGCTTGACGCTGGCTGGCCGCTGCTTGAAGGGAGGCTGAATGGATGAGATAAGGCGGAGAGGAGGTCGGCCACCACCTGGAGATTTGTAGGATACAAATAACAAGAGCTGTGGCTCTTTTCTAACACCACTATCTTTTTCTTTTTTTTTCAGGGTTAAGGACCCTCTTATTTATAGGCATTCAACTAGTGGGGAAAAATAAAATAAAGATAATGTTAAATAAAGAAAGAAAGGACAGCAAATTAACATAATAAAAAAAATGAAAATTAAAGGTGGGGTCTGGTTGGGTTTAACCCAACTGGCCAAGCCTACTTCATTCTCTCCGGTGAGATTGTCCATAGTTTTTTTATGTTTTGGATTTTTAATTGGTTAGCATCCATTCTATTGGGCTCATTGGCATGAGGAGAAGCCATAATGGAAAATTAGAGTGGCAGATGAAACTCCTATCAGAGTCAAAAGGGAGGAAACGAGCAAGTCAATGAATGCAAGAAGAAGAACAAAAGTCCAAGGAGTGCAACAAAGATGGCAAAAAGAAATCATCTCTTAGAGCCAAAGGAGTCAAGAGCGAAGGTTTATCTTGAACAAGAATGCTAGAAGGGTAGGACACTGAAGCCATGAGGCGTTGACGATAGGAGGCAAGCGACGAATAGAGCAATTGAAGCATGATCATGGTGCGAGCATGCAATCTCGCAAGGAGCGACATGCAAAAGAGTATATATATAAGAGTATATATATGGTTATAATTTCCTAATATCAGTATTCACTACCTATTATAAAGAAAGGAGCAGGATCTAATCATTATCATCATTCTTAAACTTATCTCCCAATTCCTTGAGAACAGCCTTTAGAAATAATGCATGCATTTCTTTTTTAAGTGTTATAAGATTTCCTTAATTTGCTTAAAAACAACCTGGTTTATCTTTCTAATTTCAATAAATTTACTGTCGAGCAGAGTTTTATGACTTGGAAATTCTGTTATAGTCATGCAGATGTACTTATTGTCCTTATGGAAGTCTTCATATTTTTCTTGCATCTCTTTTCTTTCTTCTGTTTTTTGTTTTTATTTTTATTCTTCTTTTATTTGTTTTTATATTTTTCCCCTTCGTAAACAAAATGTAAAACCTAATTGTAATTTCTATTTCTCATATAATTTTTGTTTGTTATTGTGGCAGCTTGAAGAAGCTAAAATTTTAAAAGCTCAAGGTCAACCTGATATGGCCATTAATCTGGCAAAATATCTTTTGCAACATCATCAAGTGGAGGATGAGGCATCAAACATATATAGATTGATAGGGAAATGGTTGGCAGAAACACGATCGAGCAAGTAATAATTTATTATTTTGGGATCAGGTTTTTCATTTGATAATCGTGAATGCAATTTCATGCATGTAAACGTGTTTTTCACAATTTTGTAGCTCAAGAACCATTTTAGAACAGTACCTAAAACATTCAGTTGAGCTTTCTGAAGCAAGCAAGAGTAAAGATGATGCGTCTAAATTAAGTAAATGTCAAAGTTTGTTCCAGTTATCACATTACACTGATGGTCTTTTTAGAAGCTATGAAGAAAGACTAGCATCTAATGAGTGGCAAGCAGCGCTGCGCTTGAGGAAACATAAGGTTAATTTCTTAGGGTCTATTTTTCTAGAAATTTCCAAGTTATACTCCTTGCTAGTTTATTCTACTGCGTACTGCAGACCAAAGAGTTGGAAGCACTCATTAGAAGGTTAAAGAGTTCCACAAAGGCAAGTTTTTATCATTTATCAATATTTCCTAGATTTCTTTTTCCAAGTGAGATAGTTAGGTATTAGTGTTTGGCTGTTTGCATAGTTTGTATTTAAAGTACAAGTGATTAACCCCGTCTATGATTATTAAGAAGTGTAAACGCGTAGGCATAATCACCGTAAGAGGCCGTTTACATACTCTCTTTCATTGGTAGTGACACTATATAGGGGCATTAATTTAGGTATGTTCAAATAGCATTAAACAGAATGCATATATATTTATATAAAATAGCAAGAGTAAATTATACTAGAATTGCTATCAATAAAATTAAATGCTGTTTGAATTATCGACAATTCTGGAACTTGAGCTATATGGAATTAGCAATTGTTATTTTCATCAAGCAGATGTTATCTAAGTTCTAGAAGATGGAGACCTGCAAACTATCGGAGTGCTAGGTTGTGATAAAAGACTTGCACACTTATTAACTGCTCATCCACAAATTGAGTCATTCACTGATAAGATGTTTGCATTTGGCTATTCACATACATCGGCATACATTGCTATATACTACTTATCATGCCATTATAAAAGACGATGTTATACATAGTCCAATGCTGATAACGATACCAGAACCTATTATGATGAATAACTTTGCTATCACCAAGAATTATATAATTTTTGCATAGGCATATCTTATCTTTGTATTGCCAGTTAAAGGAAATGGTAAAGAGAAGGAATTAATGGGCAATTCCATCTCAGATTTCTCTTAAATAATGGATTTGAATTTGAAATTCAATACGAAAAGAAGGGAGGGAAGAGAGGAATTAATTATCTTTTAATTGGGGCCTTTAATTAGGAAGGAAATAGTTAGGATAGAGGGGAGAGAGAGGCCGGCCAAGGAGGGAGGAAAGATGTCCAAAGTCGATGTTTGTGTCCACATACATTGAATAGGGGGAATTAAATTCAAATCCAATCATTTAATTCAGATTTGCACTAATTGGGGGAAATTTCCTAAAATAGGTGTATTATATTTTGGAAAGATTTTTTTATTCAAATTGATTTGAATTTGAAATATGAAACCTTTCCAAATAAGATAGGGGCTAAATTAGGAAGATGATAATGGTGTAATTGAATATTTGAATGATTCTTTAATTAGAATCTTAAATTAGGAAAGGGATGAAAGGCCTTTAAAAATTTAAAATTCGAAATTAGGAGATGGGAGGGAATTGTGCAATTATGTGGGCTCCGAAAATTCGACCCCGGCCTCCGCCCGCTCTTCTTTTATTCGGCGATGGAGTTTTAACTGAATAAGTTTCGAGGTAAATTTTGGAAGGCAGATGGGTTTGTAGATAAGACACTATCCAGAGATTTCGCCCTCATTTTGTGAGGACTTTATGATATGAGTTCTGGTTTCTTATAGGCGCAAGCCCCTATAGTTAATTACCCCTCCCGATCACTAGAGAGAACTTTCGATTAAGGCTAGTCGTCGATCAGATACGTAGAGTATACGTGTTATCTGGCATATAGTAGCAGCATTGGATATAGGGATTTAGAAATTTGGGGATTTGAAATGTTTGGAATCTTGGAAATTTGAAGGTTTTGATATTTAAAATAGAAATTTCACCATCCTGCACTTAAAGCGGATGGTGGGGGAATGGATGATAGACCCGATCAAGATCCCATGGTTCCGTCCGTCCGCGGGCCCATCGGTGGTCCTAGTTACTTAGTCAGAGGAGGTAGTAGAACCCAACTGACAGAAGGATCTTGTCCGGCAGCCAATGGGTTGCTTCGTCCCAAGGGAACCTTTGTAGACCGGAGTTGAATGTTTGTCTAAGGGGACAAATTTGAGATCCACCTTAGCTGACAGTGGGCTTTGTGCCCTATCGATCATATCCTATTGATTCATATCTCAAGGATTTAACGCCATTAAGTAGCGTATTAGCTCTGGCCATAACCACTATCTGTGTGCATTTTGGCGGCAAACCACTCGGTTCAGAGGGCCCCGGTCATAACCGTTTATCTGCAGTGCATTTGGCGCGAAACTGTCGGTGTAGAGCGACACGTACCAACGATCGTTTACTGGCAAAGAGATTGTTTGAGAATGGATCTAGTGATATTTCGACTAAGGCATTAGCTCTTTGTGAGCGGAAGTGAACTTTAATTTGTCCGTCCCGGCAACTGTTGCGGGAGGGTGAGGTTTTGCTTTAAGTGTTTAAATGTTAGATTTCCATCTTTAAATTATTTTTGGATTTTTCTGGATTTTGGATGATTTGTTGGAATTTTTGGGTTTTGGATTTGGACTTTGTAGAGTTTAGAATTTTCCTGGGCATTTGAATGGAATTTGAAAGTATTTGTTGAAACCCTCCGGATTGAGATAACAATCAATCGGCCATCATCGGGTGTTTAGGGGTTATTTCATTTAAGCTGAACCTTGTCGCACTCTATCTGGCTGTCGACATGAGGATTGGGTTTTGTAAGGCTTTATGCTTTGAAAGTGACATTCTTTTGATTGTTAGGCTTTTAAGGCCAATATGAATAATATTAAAACAAATATCTGTCCCACGGCCACATATTTGCTTAATGCGTTCGACTTTTGCTCCTATTGATCCTATAATAGAGGTCAGGTTCGAATTTGAATTCACTTGTTGACCGGCGCATCACTCCCTAGACTCAGTGTTGTACCTAATTAACACGCTCGTCAGGGCCCATGCGCGGGATCTTTCGGGATTGAGTATTTCGCCTTTAGTGTACCCTATGATGTGAATACAAGCGTACAGTGCATGTGCGAGTAGTATATATTAGATCAAGAGTCTATTAGATGGACGCGATAGATAAGTACGTTGTAGATCCTTGTGTAGTACATAGGAATCTTTTCAGTAGCATTTGCTATAGCTTATCGGTCACAATCGTGTGTTCCTTTGTGCTATTCATATAATTTTTTTTAGCAGTAATTTTGTAGAGATGATCGAGGCACATCACTTTGTATATTAACACATGATTACTGAATGGATTGCATTCATCGCAATCTTCTATGCATTTGTTGCTGATTAATTTGCAACATTTATTATACGTCATTTAGTACTTCATGGTGCTCGTTGTTTGTTATTGTGAGATATTTGATGTAGGGTTGTAGGAAGGCTTTTAACATTTTCTTTATATTAAGATCGACTGATGAGTCTAGCCAACTCCATTGTGTGTTTTATCATTGTCACCTATGAGTGGCCCTTCAAATCATCATCAATTAAGAGATTACACTTGCTTGCTACTTGAAAATGACTTGGAGTCTTGTATAGCAAATTTGCTTGATAACAATTACCTCCAACCAAAGTGACAAATCTTTTAAAGTTTGCTAAAAAACCTTATATTAGGAAATAATGAACATGTTGCTCATATGTCCATGTCTTCCTTGTTGATGATTGGTTGCAAGTTCTCTTGGCTTTAGTCATTACAAGTATCAAGTTCATTCCAAATAAACTCGCACTTGAAACATTTTTAATGCCTTGGAAAGTGGTTTTCGCATACGCATAGATGGAATTTGAGTATCATTGTCTTATACCTACTTGAGATGGTCATTGAAATCTTGCATTCTAATGTGAAATGGAATTCTGTTATATTATTCAAAAAAATTTTCATATTCATTTTGAGCTTTCTTGTACTTTGTTTAAGCTCAAATTTTAATTCATTTAGTGTCAAGTACAAAAACCTTGGGTTCAAATTCTTTTGCATCAAGTCTCTATGTCCTTGCTTGAGTTCAAAATATCCAAAACTTATTCATCTGTTTGATGTTAGAAATGCAAGTCCATAAGTCCTTCTATTTTAAAGTTCAAGTTTATTTTGTGCTTGCTGAAGTTCAAATGAGAGTCCAGAGTTCAATTGCATGATCAAATACTTACTTGAATTCAAAATAACCAACTCAAGTTCTAGTTTGTTTGAGTTCAAAGTGCGAAATTCAAGTTCTATCGCAGTTGTCCCAAACTACAATCTCAAATAAAGTTCTCCATCATTTGATTCAAATTTTAGGTTTAATTTTGATTAAGCCTTTTTGTAGTTTCACCAAGTTCATTTTGTTCAAATAAGTCCAAGTCTAAGCTCATTTTTGTTCAAGTCATGTCACTGTTCATCTTGCAAGTTCGAGTATGAGTTCAAAACAAGTTCTTTTGTAGTTGTCCCAAACTACAATCTCAAGTCAAAAGTTCTTTGTATTTGTCTTTTGAGTTCAATTAAATCGAGTCTTGCAAGCTCATTTTTTTTGTTCAAGTCCTTGGATATTCAATCCAAAATTCGGCAGCCTCCGCGCGTTCTCCCCGTTTAGGGGAAAAATCAGTAGGGCAATCATTCCCCTCGACGCTACGTGAGCGCTTCAGGTAGGGTTGTCAAAAATGCACACCGGGCGGTCGCATATGAATTTTTTTTATCCCGCGACCGCTACGTGAGCGTTTAAGGGTGTTTCTGTTTGTTTATTATAAGAAGAAAACAGGCGTTAGAAATAAGCAGGCATTTCCCCCTCTGCACCACGTGGGCGTTCGGTGGGTACTTATATAAAAAATAAAGCAAAAATAAAAAAATACATTTTTTTTATATCCCCTTCGCGAGCAAGCGCCGCACCGGTTTCCCACCCTAAACGCTACTTGAGCGCCTCGGGGGTTTGCCGGCTCGTTGCAAGCTTTGAAGAGGGATTCTTAAATCGTCGCGAGCCTCGCACCGGTTTCCCACCCTAAACGCTACGTGAGCGCCTCGGGGGTTTGCCGGCTCGTTGCAAGCATCGATAAAAGAACCATTTTTTTTAGTTAATTATTACAAATTATAATTAATTATAACTATCTTATAATAAATAATCATAATTAAAATTAATTAATTATAATTTAAATATTTAGTTATAATTAACGATAATTAATTATAGTTAATTATTAATAATAATAATTAACTATTATTAACTATAATTAATATAAACTAATTATAAAAATTATAATTAATTTATAACTAATTATAATTATTTTATAAATTAATTATAATTAAAAAGAATTAATAATAATAATATATAAATAAAAAAAAGAAAATAAATAATAAAAATAATAAAATAAAAATTAAAAAAAGCCTTAAAGGGGCTGTTCGGGAACGGGATTTGGCCGAAGAGGGGGCGCGGCAGAGAGGGTTAACCTCATAGCCAGTGAGCTCCAGTTGTAGCTTCCGATCAAAATGCCATATCTCCCGATCCAACAGGAAGGAGACGTCGTGGATGGGAGATAGGGCATGGCTTGGTAGGTCTTTCTTCCTCTCTCTCTCTCTCTCTCTCTCTCTCTCTCTCTCTGGATCGAATGGATCGGACGTGTGAGGAGGAGCTCGGGCTGAGGGAGTATCGTGGGAGAGAGCAGTGCGAATGGGAGAAGAGCAGTTCGAATGGGAGAAGAGCCGTGAGCTTAGGAGGGAATGAGAGAGTGGGAGAGCCTTGGTCGTGCGTGGGAGCAGAGCAGGAGGAGTTTGGTCGTGGCTCTGGATTTCGGGAGGAGAAGTAGCGTATGGGAGCTTCTGAGATCAAGTGGGGGAAGTCGTCTCTAGCAGAAGAGGCTTCGACTCCTATTTAACGACGCGAAAATGGTACGATTCAACGGAACTTCTGCAGGAATCGCGTAGAAGCAATGCTAGCGGCGCTGAACAGCCAGGTAACGGGATTTCTTGCATAATTCCGGGATTACGTGGATTTTTATTTTGATTTTTTCTCTTTTTTTTATTTTTGTTCATTATCTGGTGGTCAACAAATTAATTCAAATTAATGAGGGAAATTGAAATCTCAAATTCATTTGAAATTCAAATTTGAAATTCTCAAATTACTTTGAATCAAATTAGGAAAGTAATAAAAGGATGATTGAGAATTGAAGCCTTGGAGAATTAGTGGGGTGGCCGGCGGGTAAAGAAAGGGGACGAGGAGAAGATGGCTGGTGGAGAAAGAGTGAGGGAAGGAGATAGGGAAAGAAGATAAATCGTGAGCCCGAACACATCCTGCTGCTAACGAGTGATGCGATGCCCTCACCTAGGGACTTCAACCACGAGCCCGAGACACATCCTGCGGTTGGGTATTTCATTGCCCTCATATAGGGACTTTCACTCTCCTAAGAACTCCCATAGTTCTCAAGAACAAAGTGTAGAAAACAATTTTTTTATTAATTCATCATTCCATTACACAAGCAAGGGCCTTTATATATAGGCCTAAGAAACTAAAACAAGACACATATGCTCCTATGGCTTACATAGGACGACCCTCTTAAGTGAGGGTAAAATCAGAAAAAATAAAAATTACAAATAAAATTTAAGATAACGTGGGATGATGATGGCCGTCGATCTTCAGCTTCTACTCGGATAGACATGGATGGTTGGATGTCCGCATTATAGCTCCTGACAAGCTCCAAACCCCTAGTGAGCTCCAACTCCTTGCAAAAGTTGCAATTGCAAGCTACAGCCCCCTACAGCTACAACTACTTATGAACTCTCTGAGTTGTTGCAACTACAATCTACCTGCAAGAAAAAAATATGGAGTTAACATCAAATATAACCGGTAATGTAAAAACTAGTGCTAAGTAGAGCAATGCTAGTACCGGCAAAAAAGAGCTAACTACTCAAGGCAGAACAAAGTGCTAGAAAGAAAAACTAGCAAGTAAAGTATAAATGGAATAAAGTGTTGGAAAGCAAGTAAAGAATAAACAACAGTGCTGAAGTAGAGTGGCAAACTATTGTAATAGAAAAAGCTATAAGCACAAAACAACAAGCACATTACTGAAAGCTAGAGTAGAAAATAACTACTGGCTAGTAAATGTCAAAACTGTGAAGCAAAGCTGGCAAAACAAGACGCTGACATTGGTGTCAAAACTGTGAAGTGTGTAAAACTAAATCTTTGTTACATCAAACAACTTTCAATGAAAGCCGTAAATCTGACTTTAGGGGAAATCTTTAGGCTCAATTGACCTAACTCCTAATCCCCGATTAACACACTGACAACTTTTAATAGAAGCCGTAAGTCTGACTTCTGAGGAAAATATTTAGGTAATAACATAATCCTAAACCCCTCTAACGGGCATCCGTCTATAGGGCTAGGTTGTAAGACTCATTATATGGACCACCTGGCTTAATAGAGCTAGGTCATAAGACCTATCGTCAGGCAAATTCTAAATCAAGAAGTTATAAGACCTATCTAAACATTCAAAACACCCCGGCATCATAGTCTATAAATCTAAGTTGCATGACCCACAATTTGAGACACCTCTAATAGAGGCTGTAAGTCCCATCATTAGGGCTACTTTCAAATGAAAGTCGCAAGATCCTACCCAAATCCAATCACATAGGCAACTACTAAATGGGGCTGTAAGACCCAACCAAGTCTAAACTATGGGCAGCATCTAAATGAAGCCATATGTCCTTACCCAAATTAAATTATATAAATATATATATATATATATATATATATCCACCTCAGTCTGCTCGGGATCCCTGAGATGAGGCAACCCATGGTAGCTAATCAGGTTCCCTGGACACTACGATTAATAATCGTTAGTGTTGGTAGATTGAATCCTACGGTATGCCCAAGATTACGGAATCATGGGATCTTGATCAGGTCTACATTCATCTTCCACAACTAGGGTTTAGAACATGCACATATTGTTGCTCACACATCAACAGTTCATGCACACTCTAAATATAATTTCATCCTTAATCGAGTGTGCTCTTCTACACGTTAGAAAGAGTAATTAACTATGAGGGCTTGTCCTCGCAGGAAGTAAAACCCAGATCTAAAAAAACTCTGACATGACTTTTAGGAAAAATCTGGTTAAATTCAAATTCAATCTACCTCAGGGAAAGAGGGGACCTTAAGCTTGTGAGAGTGAGGTTCGCGCCTATTCTTCCTGAGCGAACAAGGTAATAGTAAATTGTACTTTTAATTTCTGTAGCTGCATTTGTTTCTTTAACATCCAAAGCTAGGGCGTACTACTATTATTTTTAGCTTTAGCCACCGTCCAGCATTGAAGCCTATGCTGAGCAATCTATTTCTGATGTATTAAAATAGTTTTCAAAAGTTCCATGGATAATATTTTGTTCTTTATGTGATTTCTATGAGCATACAAATATTGGCAATAAATAAAGCCAACTAGTTGTATTGAGTAAATAATGACAGTAGGGTTTAGTCCTCATATTTTTGTTTCCTGTTTATCATCTAAATTTGTTATGTATGCTTGAATAGCTATTAAAGCTACCATCTACCACAATCTCATTAAAATAATTACCATTTGATAAAATTTATTTTTTTATCTAATTAAAAAATTGATTGTTATTTATTATCTTGACAAATAGTGTAGAGAAGGTCAATGGTGGTGCCACCATGGGTATAAAGACAAGAATAAGATGTTCTAAACTTGCCACTTTTCTGTTGTCATTAAATCAGGGAGAAAAGACAGATTACTCTATAAAAATACAGGAGTTACAGAAACAGCTTAGCATGGATAGGGAAGAAGCTGAAAGACTTCAGGTATTTTTTGTTATATTTCTGTTCAATTAATTTTGTTTCATTTAATTAATTCTTTTCTCTTTATTGATTTTTTTTGTATTTCATCTGTTTGATCGTGTTCGTAAGAGATGAACTGCTTTCATGCGTGCTCTTTTAGTAGATATGTACTATATATGCTTATCAACTAGGTGCATACTCATTATACTAAATTCTAACTCATCTGAGCCATATTAGTGAGCTTTATGAGGACCATTCTTACAATTATTCATCCTTTTGGTCAAGTTTGAAACTCTAAAATTTGAATAGGGTGTTTTAAAATGTAAAAACCATCCATCAATTATTATATTAGAGTCTCAGTGCTTGTTAAATCTCAGCTATTCCTTGACCCTTGATCCCATAACAAGTATGAATTTTATAATAAGAAAATATATAATACGTTGTAAATATATATTAAGTCTAAAATAACCTATTTAATTTACATTCTAAAGAAAAAGTCAGTCCCTAAATTAGAGATTGATTATCTTACCTAACTGACAATCAATAGTTGGATAATTTTTCTTGTATTCATCGCTTCGAAACCTTGATCTTTTATAAACAATCTATGAAATGCATTTTCTCATATTATAAATTTTCCTTAATTTACAACTCAAATTAAAACCAAAACTATCTCAAATTGATCTCCTCTCATATAAACCTTAACACCTACCAATCCCCATTCAAAATTGTTTCTTAGAAGAAGGTATGAATAATCAGAACATTCCTTATGAACCTTGCCATATAAACCTTAACACCATCATTTCTTCTTCTCTTCCTCTGATTAGTCTGCTCTTCATTTCATGCCTCGAGTTCTCGGCCCTTGTGGTTACAAGAAATGGTAATAGAAGTGTTTTAGTGCATATGTGTGTGTATGTATATATATATATATAAACATGAGAACTGGCAGTTGGACAAAAATTTAAATATTATCACATCACATTCAAATCAGTATCTTTCAAATTGAAATGAAGCAACTAAACTATAAATTTTTATTTATGAACAATTTTTATATTACGATTTTTCATCTAGACTACATTTATTCACAAATACTAACACAAATTATACATTTAATTTTTCTAATACCTAAATTGTAAAGTTACCCTCTTATTGTGTATGAACTCTCTTGTCACTCCCCACGATAAGGTCGGCATGAGGCGAACAGGGAAAAATTTAACTAACTCATTACATAACATCACTTCTACTTAATAAAAAATTATGATTAGCACATTATACTGTTTTCTAAAACAGAAGCAATTCTATCATTAATTCTCGATTCATCTACAAAGCTACTAGAACAATTCAAAATTCTATGTATATGATAAAAAAATACATAAAACATAATGGACATATCTGCAAAAATTTTATTTACAACAAAATTGTACACCAAAATTGTGCTCCCAAAATATCAAGATTTGACCTCTATTCAGGTTCTGTCTTGTCCTTTCTCTTATCTAAAATAATATTTAATATAACAGGATATGAGGTAAGCCTCAGCAAGATGAACAATGTAATGACAGAAAGTAATTCATATAAAAGTTTACTTTTATATATTATCTCATATGTTACTTGTGGCCCTTTATATTAAAAATACCAACTTAATATATGTTTACTTTGCAAGCAAACTATGTAATTAGAATAACATTCAAGAAAATGTTACAGTTTCAAGTTTTGATCATATATCATAAATTATTAACAATTATCCTAGAACTTATTTTGTTTAGTGCATATCTCTTGTATAGTTTCTTTTTAAACTTTAGACCGTATTATGTCTATGAAAGTGATTCATATGGCTACCGTAAGCTTGAAAACTACATGTCGAGTACCCTTTCACCTCCTTGAGAGCCCTGCTTTTGTTGCTCTTACTTGTTCAGGTCATTATACACTTTTTTTAAGGACCTTTTGTCTTTTTTATTGGCTCGCCATTTTTGTCTTGACCTATACAATTTATCACCTTACTCATCAATCTATATACATGATTTTTCTGAAACTCATTTTATTATATTTTATTGTTCGAATATATATATATATATATATTTCATCTTTAATTTTTAGATATACATGCACCTTCAAATGAAACTGCATAAATATTAAAAACCAAATCTGCAGTTTTTCATGAAAAAGAGACAGGTATCAATCATATTATCATAAATAGGCAGGTAGTGAGATTAACTTGTAATAAATGCATTTTTCAATTTAAGCTCAAATTAATTTTTTTACCTCGAGAAAAACTCTCATGTAAATTCCATATTTCTCAACTTCTATTCATAGCCAATTCAACGAGGGACATTACAAAAACTTCGAAATTTACCTCTTTGCTCTAAATTTCCTCCTGCCTTCCTGCCGGCTCCCAATTCTTCTTTGTTCATCACTACAGACCAAGAGACTCATAGGGATCGGGTAAATGAAATGAGAAAGGAGGCTTTGGCTTAGGTTTAGGAAACTAATTAATTGTTTATTTCCTCCTAACTTACACTTAATTCTCATCTACCAATGCATGTTTGGGTAAGTGCAGAAGGGCAGATATTACTACTGGAAATATTAAAACTTTAAAAGAAATTTTCAAATCAAAACTAATTCTATAATTTTCATCTCCATGCAAATATGTAATACAATTTTTTCCCTTAAATTAAATGTGTTATTGTGTGTATGTGTGTGTGTGTCTATATATATATATATATATATATATAATGTATGTATTAATATTTTAATAAACAAAAAGAGAATATTTTTCTCTATTATTATTAAAATTATTTTAATTAGATTAACTTATTATAAACTTAAATAATTTAATCAACTTTGCATTTTTAGTCATCTTAATTATTTTAGGGTTATTACAAGATGTTATATTTCGCATAAAAAATTTTTCACATCAATTTAAACTTACCACAGTTTCATTTCATATTTTAGAACATTAGTACCACTTATAGTGGTAGTATACTCAAGAATGGTACTTACAGTTGCTATTCCTTCTTGCATCATTTATTGTACCTCAACATGTTGAATTATATAAATGGGTGTGTTGTTAATTGACTTTCATGCTAAGAGAACCACGGGCAATGAACACTAAAGATTACCATGTAAAATCATATTTTTTTATGAAAAAAGATTAAAATGATCTCTGACTCTTTATAAAAGATCAAAGTAGTTTCTAACTATTTTAAAATATCATTTTGATCCCTCAACTCCTTAAAATGGAACCAAAATAGTCTCACAATGGGACTATTTTCATTCATATTTAAAGACTTCAGGAACTAAAATGGTTTTTTAATATAGTTGAGGATCATTTTGATCCTCCTTAAAGAGTAAAGGGGCAATTTTGATTTTTCTCTCTTTTTTTAAAAAAAAGTGATATTATGCTCTGTTATAGCTGAAATTTTTAGTTTGTCCCTTGCTAACTGGCTCATCATGATTTATTTCTTGTTTTCAAACTTTTTTATCTACTGCATCACAATCTAATTATCAATTAAGTTTTAGCTATAAGTTACCATTATTTGCAATTTTTACCTAATGGTATGCATTCAATCATGATAATGTCTCAAAAACGATCGGTGTAACAGACTATTGTTGGCCTTAACTAATGGACTACATTAATCTTTTGAATAGTGCGTGTCCCATTGATAATGATCTAAATAGAGAGATATTTTTGTATTTGACTTCTAAATTTATTAGTAATTAAAAGTTTTTAATTTTATTATTTATTTTAATAATGATTATCGAATAATAAATATGAGGTGTTGTTTAAACTTTTTGTTGTTATTCGGTTTTTATAAATAGCCAGTTATTCTTTGTGATGAAAATCTTGATGTTATGAAGAATTGATGAAAACTTCATGTAACCTTTGTATCGTATTCCTTATTTTCTTGTCTTTAGGATTCGAAAACTAATATTTTGAGGAATCCTTAGTTATAGTATAGAGTTTTAGTTGTCAGACTATTTCTAGAAAAAGCATTTTATTCGGTGTAAAAAAGTTGTTGATGCTATGAAGAATTTCTGCGACGCATGTTTTGCTTATTAGTTTTCTTTCCTTGTGGATATGATACTCAATTTTTTTAGAAATTAACATCAATAACTTGAGGATTCAAACTGTGTAACTTCATTTCTCAAATTTCTCTCAAATACTTTTCTATAAGTTTGTTTCATTAACCTGCATCTCTTTTTTATTGGTATGGAATTCTTACATTTTATGCATGCTGGGGCTTTTCATCTAAGTTTTCTTATTGTATAGGCCAATTTTATTTGAAATCACCACCTTACAATATGTGCACGCACCAGGCCATTTGGTTTTAACTATACTCTCTTTCTTTGGTTGTTCTTGTTTGCTTTCTATTTTGGTAAAAGGCTTGATGTTTGTAGATTCCAATCAAATTATATTGATGATATTTAGGGAAAGATAACCTATCTATTTTCCAGCATGTCCTATTTTTAAGTTACCATATGAATGTATTCAAATATATAAATATCCTAGAATTTCTTTGTTTGATTCAGTCAAAATAATTTGCTGGTGTTTAGGATGATAGGGACAATTTTCTTGGCCTGGCACTGGAGGGATACAAACGTTGTCTCGTCATAGGTGGAAAATATGATCTAAGAGTGGTGAGTACTTATTTTCATCTAATTGTTAGCTACTGGGAATTTTTTTACTTCTGGATATTTGTCAAATTCTTACTTATATACTATTTTTAAGAGCAACTCATGCAAAAGGAAACCCAAGGTATGTTTAAATGCATGTCTTTTAACCTTGAAGCACTGGAAAGTTGTGTTTTGCTTGCTATATTCTAATGGGGATGTGTTGACAGCACTGTATTAGTTGGTGCAAGTGTGAAACTTAGCATTTGGAGATGAAGATTTAGGCATAATTGTGGGCTCCGAAAATTTGGCCCCGGCCTCCCCGCCCGCTGATTGTTTATTACTTTTTTTTTTTGCGAGGGAGTTTTAACGGAATTAAGTTCCGGGATAAATTTTGGAAGGCAGATGGGTTTGTAGATAAGACACTACCCAGAGATTTCGCTCTCATTTTTGAAAGGACTTTATGATTTGAGTTCTAGTTTCCTATAGGCGCGAGCCCCTATAGTTAATTACCCCTCCCAATCATGAGAGAGAAGTTTCGATTAAGGCTAGTCGTCAATCAGATACGTTATATCCGTAGATACACAGTATCAAGCATATAGTAGCAGCATGGGCTTGGATATTGAAGAGTTGGGTTTGGATTTAGAATTTGGGTTTGGATTTGGAAATGGTTGAGAATTTAAAGATTTGATATTTAAAATTAGAAATTGCACCATCTTGGACTTAAAGCGGATGGTGGGGAAATGGATGATGGACCCGATCAAGATCCCATGATTCCGTCGTCCCGGGCCATCGTTGTCCATGGTCTGTGGGCTCCGAAAAATTCCATTTTATGTTTGTTGATCCCGGCCTCTCTACATCATCTGTCTATTTTTCTTTTAAAATGTTTGTGTGACGATGACGACAGAGAGTTTTAACGAGATTAGGTTCCGGGGGAATTTTCAGAAGGCAGATTGGGTTTTAGATAAGACACTACCCAGAGATTTCGCCCTCATTTTGTGAGGACTTTTTGATCTGAGTTCTGGTTTCCTATAGGCGCAAGCCCCTATAGTTAATTACCCCTCCCGATAACGAGAGAGAACTTTCGATTAAGGCTGCAAAACCACTCGGTTCAGAGGGCCCCGGGTCATAACCGTTTATCCTGTAGTGCCATTTGGCGGCAAAACTGCCGGTTAGAGGACACGTACCACGTCCTTAATGGCAGGAGATTATTTGAGAATGGATCCTAGTGATATTTTTGACCAGGCATTTTGCTCTATGTGAGCTGAAGTAAATTTTGAATTTGTCCACCCCGGCAAACTGTTGCGGAAGGTGGATGGATATTTGCTTTAAGTGATTAATGATTGGATATCAGTTTTAAATACTTGGATTCTGTTGATTTTGGGATTTTGGATTTTCGTGGATATTTGAGTGGAGTTTGGATACTTGAAGTTAACCGCTCTGGTTAAGATTTTCTATTCAACACGGTCATCATCGTGGTGTTTGGGATTATTTTCATTTAGAGTTTAAACCTTATCGACCCTATCAACTTGTCGATAGGGGATTAGGTTTTCATAGGCTCCATGCCTTTGTTTGTGAATTTTCTCTATTAAAGGCCAAGGCCTAATATGAATGTACGAAATAAATATTCCGGTCAATTTTGTGATCGCATATTTATCTAATGATTCGAACCCTGTCTACTCCTATTTACCTGTTTAGGAGGATCGGTTTTCGTAGGCTTTATGCCTTTATTAGTGAATTCTCTTGATTATAGGTCTTGAAGGCCTAATATGAATGTATTAAAACAAATACACCGGTCACCACAACCGTATATTTGTTTGATGGTTCGAACTCTGTCGACTCCTATTGATTAGTATATAAGGATCGGGTTCGAACTTGAATTCACTTATTGACCCGCGCAGCATCCCTATACATCACGTGTGTACCAATAACATGCTTGTTACGGCCCATGCTGGTCGAGATTGGATGTTCCCCTTTGGTGTACCTATGTGTATACAAATTATGGTGCACGTGCAGGGGTATTTTGGATTATTTTAGTTAGGTAATTGCCATTTGAATACACAACATTTCATTTGAGAGCTTATACACGCCTTATGTCCGCTAATACGAGTGTTGTGGATCCGGTGGTGGTATCATCTAGATGTCATGAGGCATCTCATCATCTTTATATTGACTCCCCTTTCTCGTTCACGGGGGAGGTTCTTCTTGGAATCCGTGGCCACTGCCTTGAAAGTGACTCCGTTTAAGATCTTCAGTGTAGTAGACTTGATATTTCTGATATTTTGTGGATGACAGGATTAGTTTCTTCCTGAGTACAGGATCAAAAGGGAATTTTGGGACACCAGGAAGTTTAGTTCAAATTTGCTCAAACATCTCTTCGCTTCTGTCAGGGGGGTGTCCTTTTTCATACGTCAAGTTGTCCTTGTACCCGATGTACTCGTAAATATTAGTCACCATTGTCGTAGGTGACATCTGCACTTGTGTCCACAAGGGTTCGTTGTACTTACGATATACCCATTGTTGTTACCCCCAAGTGAGTTGTATCATCCGTCCTTGCTTACAAGGAATGATTATGCTCATTACAATCTCCCGGATGTACTTGTAGAAGAGCCTATTGTACTTGAATCATATCCACCTTTCACCAATCTCAAGTGGTATAATGATTGTACTTGTTTGCAGGGACATGTGTTCCACTACTATGTTGCACCGATACGGATACGGCGACACGGATACGACACGATACGGATATGGGACACGTCAATTCTTAAAAATATAGGATACGGGTACGGCGCGGACACGACATTATAATTTATAAATCATTCATAAAAATTAAAAAAACAATCAAAGCATAATATTTGAAATTACAAAAAAAAAATCATTTGTAGCCTTGTAGCCTATAATATCAAAATATAAGAAAGCATTACATGTCTAGTCAACAATAAAAGCATAAACATAAATTATCAAGCACATGAAGTTTCAATTATTCAATAGAAGGAATGATATGATTAGCTTCTTTATTGGTTTGTCTTTGAACTTTTATATCATCTTTAATAAATATCATAGCTTCTAATTCAGGCTCATCAAGTGTAAGATTAGCAATTTCTAAATTGTCATATCATCAAGAGACTCAAATCCATCTCAGAAATGAGAGAACCTTTCTCGCAGCCCTGGAAGTAAATATGATGCGTCTTTTTTTTATTTCTTTTTGTTTTTCAACGGACACGCGTATTGGATACGCGTGTCCTTTTGAAATTAAATAGTATTTTAATTGGATACGGCTTTGGTGTATCCGACACATATCGGTGGCGTATCGGAGGCGTATCCGTGTATCGATGTATCAGATAAAGCACGCCTTCATAAATAGGTGTATCGGTGCAACATAGTTCCACTATCAATTGTCAGTGTTGCCATCTCAATCAACAGGCAAACTTCTTATGTTTCAAATTCTTCATTGTTGTATATAGAAGACATTTATATTCTTTGCAATGGATTGATATTATTTGGACTTGATTGAATATCATTATCCATATGCATTGAAAGCATTATTAGGTTCGTATCTTGGCCTTCATTAATGCTGGTGGGAGATACCCGTGCATTCTGCAATTAATTGTCATTACTTGTGCGCACTGCTTTTGACCTCGTAGGAACTGTTGTAGAAGTCCACTACATCTGTCATTGTATAAACCAGTATCATTCATTGTGCGTTTATGTATTCAAGTATTGATGATTGGTCTTTGTTTGTAGTCACTCATTTTGATAATCATTTATCATCCATATGCCTTGGAGTCTTTATTCACCAACTGCCAATGTCACCCTCTCAATCTATAGGGTAGCTATTGTTTGCGTGGTGGGTCTTTGATTGCTGCATATGGGTAGTACTCGTGCGCTTTGCAACTGTCTGTTGTTACTTACAAGTTCTCCGTTCTTAAGATGATTTTCAATATGCATGGCGAGCTTGACATTATTGTTCATTGATGTATGCGTATGTGTTTCCACCTCGCTTTTTACTTGTGAATGAGATGTAGTAGGGACTCTTCTTGTCCACTATACGTCCTCATCTACTCATCTGTATCTGCTTGAATGATCAAGGTTTGATTATTGAGCCTCTATATTTTGATTGTTCATTTGTTAGAATTGAAGTCTAGCCCAACTCAGATGCTTCATTCAGATCCAAATTCTTTAAAGTTCATGTTGTTCAACTCTCTTGTGATCAGATTCAAGTTCATTTGAATTTGAGTCCTCTTGCACTTATATATTTTGAATTCAAGTTGAGTCTTTGATTTTTTTTTTTTTTTGTTCAAATCTTCTTATCACCTTGAGTTCAATTCCTTGAGTTTAGCTCAATTTCAAGTTCCACTTGATGTTATGTAGCTCGAGCTCAATGTCCCCTGCGGTTCTTTGAGCTCAATGAGGTTCTTATTTGAGTTCAAGTAGCAAATTCAAAATCTTTTTTAGAGTCTTCTGAAGTCTTTGCAGGTTCAATGTCATTTGCCAAGTTTGATTTGAGTTCAACATAGGTTCTCTTCAAGTATTTGTTGTAGTACTTTGAGTTCAATAAAGTCCAAGTGCGATTGTATGTTTATCCGGAATTTCGGCAGCCTCCCGGCGTCTCCCCTGTTTAGGGAAAAGTTCGAGAGACTAGGCCATCCAACCACGCTACTCGAGCGTGTATGGTAGGTGTCGGGGAACACCGGGCCGTACATTTTTCATCCCACCACGCTACGCGAGCGTGTATGGGGTCTTTAAAAGGTATATGTACAAGAGCACAAGTGATTTTCCCCGCCACGTCACAAGGGCGTGTACAAGTACTTAAGTAACACCCCCACCATACTACAAGAGCGTGTATAGGGCTTACCCACTTCGCCGTATGCGTCGCACTCCTACCATGCTACGAGAGCGCGTATGGATGGTTCCCCGGTCCGCTGCAAACGTCGAAAATGGGATTTTAGGCGATTACCCGCCTCGTCGTAGGCACCGCACCGGGTTTCCTCCCACCATGCTATGAGAGCGCGTATAGGGGGTTCCCCGGTCCGTTGCACACGATGAGAACGAGAATATGAGTTTTAGGTGATTACCCGCCTCGTTGCAGGCATCGCACCGGGTTTCCTCCCACCGTGCTACGAGAGCGCGTATATGGGTTCCCTCTCCCTGTTACTGATCAAAATAACGTAACTTCTGATCCGTCAGGAAGGGAATGTCGTCGGAAGAGCAGAGTCGGTTGGTCACAAAGAGCCGGAGAGGTGTGCCAAAGGAAGAAAGTTAATTTCGCGGTCGGCGAGCTCCTGTCGTCAGTCCTGATCCGACAGAAGGGAGCGCCGACAAAAGGGGAGAGTCGGACAGTGCGCAATAGGAGAAGGTTCCTTTACAACGAGCGACTCCCATTCTTATCTCCGCTTAAAATGTTGTGACTTTCGGTCGGACAGGAAGGAAAAGTCATCGAAGGAGTGAAGTCGATCGGCGATGAAGGAAGCGGACAGGGAGAAAGTTACCTTCTCAGCGATCGAGCTCCGATCGTTGCTTTCTATCAAATGTCGTAGCTTCCGATCTCATAGAAAGATAACGTCGTCGAGGGAGCAAAGTCGAACAGCGACTCAGGAGTCGAAGACGCACGTGAAAGGGAGAAATCAGGGGAGAGTGGGCGCGGGAGAGGAGAGGAGCCGAAGGCCTCGTTTCATCACCTTTTATCGACGAGAGCGAGTCGTGCGACGATGTGCGAACAGAGGAATGGCGCCGATGTGCGAGGACGTGCGGACTGCGTCCACGACGTGCGAGATGGGGCGGGGCAGGTAATGGATTTGATTTTTATTATTTATTTTTTTTTTATATAGCAGGTCAACAATAATGAGTTTTACTAGATAAAGATCTTTACTTATGTAGTAATGGGCCTTGTAGAACTCTTTTTTTTTTTTTGTGGGTCAATCTTTATTATCTATGCTTGTTTTGGGAGAAAAGTAATGGCCCCAGCAATCCAAAAAAAAAAACCTATTTTCTTCATCATTATCTTCTGCTTAAAATAAATTATAATTTCATTGCAATTACAACTTGTCCTCTACCTTTTCTCAGTAACTATTTAACTTGAATGAATTTTATTTTCACTATTAATTTCTAGTTCGTGTTGTATTAGCAGCTTATAGTTTTTTTATTTGCTCTTCAGGTTTTCCGAGTTGTTTCTTTGTGGTTCAGTCTTTATATGAGGCAAAATGTTGTAGAGTCCATGTTTAATGCAGCCAAAGAGGTGGGTTGTGGGGATCCCTGTTTTGTATTAATGGAACTAGCTGCAAATTTTGTCGTGTCTTACATCATTACCTAGTTTTGACTTTAATTCTTTATTGCATGGAAATGTCTTCAAGGTTCTATCATACAAGTTTTTGCCATTGGTTTACCAAATTGCTTCAAGGATTGGTATCTCTAAAGAAGGACAAGAATCAATTTGTTTCCAGGTCTAGAGTTCAATTTAGATATTTATTTTATTTTGATCGAAACCAAGGATGCGTATCATTTGATCAAATGAAGAATATTTTTTTCTGCAGACAGCACTACTCTACCTTGTGAGAAAAATGGCCATTGAGCATCCATATCACACTATATTTCAGGTATTCAAAATTTCAAATTTGATCATATTTCAGGCATGTGGTGATACTCATACCTCACATCATTTGTGCTTCTTGAAATCATTTGAATTTTTTGATACTTATGGAGATGGATGAAGAGAAAATCCTTTTTAGTTAGATTGCCATAAGCATGTTTATAGGTTCTTTTCATAGTTATTAGCTCATTAAAAGACTCTAGTCGTTAAGAAACCACATGTTCTTGCATGAGTCTGCCATAATGCACTAATCATTAATAGTAATTAGTAAATCTTATGGGCCCTACATTTATATATGGGAAGGAAATTCTATTTTGTGCTGTTGATAAATGTACTCATAATTCCAATTAATTATTTGAAGCTTCACCTAATTACTCAGGTTTTTCTTGCATGAAAACGGGTGTTATATCCAGCATACCAGCCACTTATTTGAATGATGATTAATATTTTTAGAATTTCGTATCTGCGGTTATTTATTTATTTGTTCTTTAGATTTTGGCTCTAGCAAATGGGGATCGGATCAAAGACAAACAGAGGAACAAAAACTCATTTGTTGTTGACATGGATAAGAAACTTGCAGCAGAAAATCTGCTAGACGAGTTATCATTGTACCATGGTTTAATAATTCAACAGGTATTTATCAAAATTTTTAAATCGTGATGGTATCTCTAAGCTTCTTGACAGCTTCTGTTGTAGTTAATAAGAGGTTCTTCCATGGTTATGTTCGAATAAGGATGGTATTTTATTTTTTTTTATATATTATAAACTTTTACAGATGAAACAAATGGTTGAGATTTATATCAAACTTGCTGAGCTTGACACAAAAAAGGAGGTCGGTTATTTTGAAATTCTGTGATTTGTTTCTCCTGAAAGTATCTGCTAGCTAGCTGAAGGTATTAAAGGTGTGAAATGACTTTAAAAAAGTGCTTGCAACCTTGTTAGCAGGATATGAATAAAAAAGTACCACTTCCTCGGGAGGTTCGCAGTATTCGTCAGCTAGAACTTGTAAGGATGATTTTTTTAATTAGTTGAATTTTATTGTTCCTCTTTGTATTATAATGTGTCTTGTTTTGCTGGTTTTAACCTCTTACTCCATTATTCTTCTGTGTAAAATTTTTAAATAGTTTATTAGCAAATTCGTTCACTAATCGCATCACCAAAATTTTAGTGAATATTGAATTGGATAAGCTTTCATAATAATTTCAGGAGATATTGTAATTGTATAATCTGGTGTAATAGTTAATTAGTTAATGGATGATAACTTGGAATTTTAAAGAAATTAATCAAAAGTGATACTCTCTCTAATAAAATGGTGAAACATAAAAGGTGATTATTTATTTTTTTAAGCTACATTACGCAAAAATGAAAATTGAAACTGTAAATTGGAGCCAAATTTGATATGGGATTACATAGCTGGCTCTCTTTAAAAGATTGTCTTAAAAATTTTAAGATTCTAAAATTTGATCAAGCATTCATCATCAATATCATTAGCCTTATGCCAACTACTTGGTGCCAGCATCAAAATTTTCATTCTCTATTCATCCCTGTTAACAGTTGAAAGTGTTATTATATGTTTTCTTCACATATTTTTTTAATTAGGTTAATTTACATTCGTTTAATTAGTTGAAAGTGTTATTATATTTTGTCTTCTTCACATATTTTGCTACCATCCATGTTTGCCTTGATTGGTGTGATCAAGCTAGTGGGGAAGATGGAATGAGAAAATAGGGGTTGAGGGGGGGAGAGGAGGGAGGCCGGCGGTTTGGGAGATGGGGAAGTCGGCGGTATATATATATATATATTAACCAGAATATATTCCAACAAGAAAAGAGGAGGGGGGGTTACACCAAAATTAAAGGAGGGACAAAAAACGAAAATTACAGAGAAACCAAAGCACGGGGTTTAACAACCCAAAGGCTCAGTAAATGGCAGAGGCTTCAAACTCCTTCGAAGCCAGGCGAGAGCCATCCAGTTTGGAGTGAGAGACCAACGAGCAAAAAAACGTACCAATAAAGGTTGCCACGAGCCATAGCTTCAGATAAGTGAGCCTTAGCCACATCATTGCCAAAAACCAACAATCACATTCTCGAAATTTAAACCAATATCCAGCAAAACAACAACCACCATATTTTAAAAAATAACTCATATTGGCTCCCAACTAAAGCAGCAACCCAAAGGAGAAACCGACACAATAGGTCGGTCAGGCTGCACAGCAAATTCATCCCACAGGTTCTTCATCTTCACTGATGCAAGAAAAAATTTGGGAAGAGCCCCCTAAATTTTTGCGAGCAAAAGCTAGACTTTCCTAGGTAATAGAAAATACACGAAAGACCCAAAAGACACAAAATACGACAATTGAACCAAAAAAAACAACTTCACTTTATAATATAAAAGAGTTACAAACTTTTGACGCTTACAAACGACAAAATAAAGACAACGATTTTCCTAAAACTGCTTTTCCTTTGCTTGAGAAGAAGGATACAAGTGGCGTCGTACTTGCGGATAGAAAGAGATTAGAAGCCGAGACGAAACAGGAATAACTCGCAAGTTATCCTAGAGGAGAAGAGAAGCACGGAACAAGCTCACAAGCTTTTCCAAAGAAGGAAGAAAACTTCTTAGGTTTTTAGTTCCAAAATTACCATCATAACCAACCTTTTTTTATTCACCAAACATCACATATATATAGGACTTGAGAGGGCAGCCAAACAGCCACCATAATCATTAATTAAGCCCATTAAAATGGGGGATATAGAATGTCAAAAGACACCACAAATAGCAGCCGAAAAGGCACCCAAAATATTAGCCAAATACATCCCATTCCAGCTTACAATGGGCGGAACCAGCAAAAACCGAGGAGGCCAGGAAAAAGGGGGCGGAACCCCAACAACCTTTTCACGGGAACAACAACAGCCAAGGCCCCAAACCGAGAACAACAAGCAGCCCAAGGCCTTAATTCCATGGAAGAAATTAAATAGACTCAAGAAGGGGAAGAGACATGAGTGGGGAAACTAAAGAGTCTTTAGAGAGGGAGTAAAGGAGGGGGAATGAATCTAATTTTGGCAATAACTACACAATTTATGAGCCGAATAATAAGAAGAGGCTCATTAATGAGTTGACTCTAGTAGAACTTACAAAAATTTCAACTCAACTTATTTTGAGCCACCCCCCCTGCCTACATCATTCACTAGCCTCCGAGGGTGAATCAGACGAACAATGAATCCAGTCAATTTGCAATCTCACACTCTCCCCCGAATTGGCACCCACTTGAGAAACCAATTCGTCCGGTGAAATTAATTTAACAGGAACATCAACAAAAGGTCCAGGAACAGGAACAGTAGGTGTTAAAGCAGGAGAAACGAATGACCCAGAATTCACCATCTCCACACTAGGTGAAACAACCTCAGCCAAAATACACAGAGCAGACACAGTACCCACACGAGACAAAGGAGTTGTAGAGATAAAACCACCCACTTCACTAGCACATTTATGGGAAGCCAAGACAACTCCATAATCGGGCAAAGGAGACATAACCGCGGGAGAACCAACACCCACCACCTCACCAGACTTCAACAATTCCCCAGAATGAGCAGGGGAAAGAACAAAAATAGGACCGCCCACAACACCGACAAAAGAATTGGTGGAACAAACAACACCAGCGTCCAAACCGACCAAAATAGGGGAAACAGGGGATACGCCAACAGCCAAATTTAACGACTGCTCTACAGGCACAGAAAAAATTAATTCATCCTGAATAGACACAGGCGGACCAGAAGCACAAACAGCACCGTCTAAACCAACATTAGCATTATTCACGGCTAAACCACAATTATCATTAATCAACACCGCAAGAGCCTCTGGGGGCAAGGAAACAGGTAAATCACTAACCATAGTAAGAGGATCCACCTCAGCGACAGGAGGAACAACCACACGATTAGACAGGGGATGAAGAAGAGGGCATTCAAGCTTTGAGTGACCCAGAGATTTATAGTGAGAGCAGTAGGAAGGAAAGGGGTCCATAACAACCGATTGTATATAGCCTAAGCTCTCAGAGTCAATCCAAATCTTATCGAGATACACCTTGGTAACATCCAGTTCCACCAGCACTCGAGCAACCGACGGCTGCCTTCTAGAGGAAGCAACCTGGTCAATTTTAAGAGGTTTACCAAACATGGAACCGAGCCCCTGTAAAATCCTCGGGGCAAAGAGGTGCGGCCTGAGATTAGGAAAAGAAACCCAAATTGGAATAGAAGGATATTCAACATCAACATCAAAGGTAGGGGACCATTTAAAAATTTTCATGAAATAGTTCATAAAATAGGAACGATGGGAAAAAACGCAGCAGTAATCCATGTCATTCTCAAGCTTGATAAGAACATGCTTAGGGTTAAGAACAGTGACCGAGAAAACCCCATTGAGTTTGAGATTGAAAAAAAAAATTCAAATTGCTTTCAGTGTAGGTCTATGAGTCGAAAATTAACCAACAAGTGCAAACTCAAAGGAAGCAGCAAGAGCTAGAACTTCCTTATCCGAAATCCAAAGTGATGGAAGCCCCTGAAAAGACGAAATCTTAAGCTCAGGGAAAGAAGAGTTCAAAACAAGAGAAGAACCCGCTAAAGCCTAACGAAAGGACCGAGAAGAGGGATTTCCCCTCAAAAAATCAGGATCCAGAAGCCGTTTACCCTCCATAACTAAAAAAACCAACGAAAATGATAGATATTAATGCAGGAAACTTCCCTGAGAAGGCCAGAGAAGCACAATGCGACGAAGGAGACGGCGTGAATCAGAAACCCTAGCAGAGCACATTACAGTTTTTTTTTTGGGAAGCCGGCGATATGTGGAAGAAAAGGAGGGATTAGGGTGAAGGCTAGGGGGTATTTGTTTAAGTGGAAATTAATTTCAGGTTTAAGTGGAATTGTAGGGAAATTGGATTTGAATTTGAATTCAAGTGGGGTGGGGATTGAATAGGAAAATACATTAAAAACCCATTAGGGGGGGAGTTATGGAGGAATTTAGGGGGTCTCCAAATAGACCTTTGTAGATTTGGAAAATAAATAATAAATCCAATTTAATTTATTTTAGATTGGATTCATGATAAAAAAAACTTTCCTTATTTGGAATTCCCTATATGGAAATAATTTGAATTTCAAAGGAATTCAAACCTTGCCATCTCTTACTTGAGCTAAATTAGGAAGTCATTGTGATGATTGAACTCACCATAATGAGGGGGAATAGTGAGGGGCTAGCGGCAATGGGTAAGGGGCGGCTAGGTATCGGGTTGGGTGGGGCTATGTTGGCGGGTGGGTTTGGTGAGGTGGAATTGTGTGGTGATTTTGGTGGGGGAGATGGTCGGCGATGGAAGCTAGGGGAGTCGGCGGGTGGGGGTGGAGAAAAGGATGAGAAGAAGAAGATAAATTAAAAGCCACAAGTCGCGGACTCTTCCAACGACTTGTGAGTATTGCGCTTGCTCACCTTGAGCTCTCTCTCCCTTCTCTCTAGTGCTCACACAAGAAGAAGAAGAAGAAGAAGCAAAGGAAATTTTTCATTAATCATTCATCAAAATTTTTACAACACGTTAGACCACTATATATAGGTCTAAATCATAAAAAAGGAAAAGTAAGCAGCTACCCTCTGGGTTACAATAACAAGACAATTCCCCAAAAGGGTAAATTCAGAAAACAACAAAAATAAATAAACATAACATGAAGAAATGCATCAAAAGTAAAGGCGCCGAATCGTAGCCGTAGATTTGCGATTCCTTCGTCGATAAACTTGTCGGTAGCATCTGTCGATGTCCTCATCTGGAACATATGTAGGTAGGTTTGTTGAGTTCATGGAAGACAGGGAAGTAGGAGGAAGGAAGGGGTAGGTTTGCTGCGTCCATGGAGGACTAGAAAATAGGAGGAAGGAGGGGGAGGGTGGAATGACATTCATGTCTAGAGGGAGGGATGAATCTCTAGAATAAAGCATGCATTCCAATTGGAGATAGATGACGTACAATCAAGTAATGGGGTGAGGGAGGGAATCAAAGTGAATAACTTAATTCAATTCTTCATTTGTTATCAAAATAACATTCATCCAACCCCACTTGAAGAAATAAGATTTAAAATTTCAAGTTTAAACTAATTTAAAACCTATATCTAAATAAGTCCCAAGATTTCTATCATTTAATTCAAAATAATAAAGAAATCCTAAAATTAAATTCATTAAAATTGAAATTAAACCCTACAAATATTCTAAAAAGTCTGAAAAACTGTAGAATATTTTAGTATGCATGTCTAGTATTGCATCAACTCTATGCAGATAGGACACTTCTCCTATTGAGCATATACATGCCTCTTCTGGGAAGTGGGATTTCCATGTAGAAGGTTATGGAATTTGTTCATGAATCTCTCTTTAATCTTTATCACGTGCAGTTTGATGATGAAAAGTATAATCTAGAGGCTTTGAATCTAAGTCGTCATGCGTCATACAGCATTCCCTGAACAATATCATAGAAGAGAATCTCATAATCACATTGTGGTGGCAAGAATGATAACATGAACTCAATTTTTTATTTTATTGAGGAAACATAACAGGAGCATGCATTTGGTTTCTCACTCCCATATCCTTTTATTATTGTTTTCCTCCTTCCCCTCATTTTATTTAAATTGTTTTAATTTAATCCTTTTATCTCTTATGGTTGAGTGAGGTCAGGTACCAGTTGTCACAGCCAATATCACTGTAGACCCAACATGCCAATATAAGGAAGGAATGTTTCCATATTTCAAAGGCCTGGGTGATTCTATCATGTATGTTTTCCATAAATAACACAATATTTGTGTACTAATAAAAAAAACTCAATATTTGTGCTTACATGAGATTTCTGGTGGAATATTAGTTACTCTTTTGTGTTATATTTAGGATAATGAATGGCATAAACAGTCCCAAAGTGGTCGAATGCTTTGGATCAGATGGTCAGATATATCGCCAACTAGCAAAATCAGGAAATGATGACCTCCGACAAGATGCTGTATGATTGGAATCCTTTTTTTTTTTTTCTGCTTATTTGATGGATTGTAAACATCCTAGTTCTAGAACCAATAAACTCTTCTTTGCAAAAACAACCATTTACTTTATTCTTGTGAAAAAAAATCTTATTCAAGTTAAAAGAATATTGCTGTTATAATTGATAAATATCTTTGCAGCTCAATCTGATATGGAAAGAGTAAGTTTGATTAAGAAAAAAGGTATTAGTTTGTTTCTGTTACCATATTTTGAATGTCCTCAATGTGTACATTTTACAGGTTATGGAACAATTTTTTGGTTTAGTAAATATCTTCCTGCAAAATCACCGGGACACTTGGAAAAGAAGACTAAGAATACGGACATATAAGGTTTGGTACTCATCTTTCTATTAGAGCATTTATTGCCTTCTTGAATTCGTTCTCAAAGCACTAGGTAAATTTATTCTCTAGTAATAGAAAGGAATAATTTATTCTACAATGATGTGTCTATGGAACTCAATTTTATGTTCTTAAATGTGCTTATTTTATTTTTTTTTACACCAAAGTTTGTCATGATTATGTTAGGCCGGCCCTAAGGCTGGTTGAACCGGCCCCTAGTGGACCGGTTCATGTCTACAGGCGGAGGCAAACAGGAGGAGAGGCGGAACAAGGAGGGGCCCACTCACTGATTAATCTTTGCTTTGGAGGGAAAAATTCAAATTAGGGGGGCTGTTTAGGGATTAAACTTCTATCCTTTTGCTTTAATTAGTCTTTTTGGCTAGGGTTTTTTTTATCTTGAATTTGAAAGCGATTTGAGATCTAGGGTTTGTGTTATTGGGCTCTAGGCTTTGCTATAGAATTGTAGAGTTGTTTCTTCCTCTCAAATTGAAGAAACTTGTATTTTATATTGTTTTTCTTGTTCGTGGATTGAATAGAAGAAGTTTTCCTTGTATTTCTCTCCACTATCCTGAAATTCCTGCATTATTTTTTTTTTCTGTCTTCTCTCTGAAATCAGCATATTTCTTGCTGTTTTTACCGATTATTGTTAGGTTTGCTTGCAAACTCAAGTATTTCCCTTAGGGTTACTTGTGAACTCAAGTATTTCCTATCAAATTGGTATATAGCATTGTCTTGAGAGCATCGGCGGTTGAAATCTAGAAACTTCATACGCAAGAAGACCTCATAAATCTTGGGAAGGAAAATGGCCGGAAGAAAAGTTTAAGTATTGAAGGGAGAAATAGGTCACTAAAGACAGATTTGGAGGAAAAAACTGTTGATTTTCAGAATCAATTTGCTTCCATCCATGAAAAGATGGATGGAATGTTTGCCGCCTTGGAAGACATGATGAAGAAGATGCTTGATGACAAACAAAATCCGGCAACATCGGAAGCAAAGGAGACCACCGGCGACCATGGAAGAGGTGGAAATCCAAACCCATTTAGGGGGACGGAGAATCCGAAAGTGGAGATCCTTGAGGGAGATGATGGAATGCCTCCTCTAGAACCATTTTCTAGGGAGGAGATGAGTATGAGCTATGAAAGGAGGGGTACTGAATTTGTTGGAAGAATGGATGATTTTTATCGTCGAGGTTCTGAATTTGAAAGGAGAGGAGGGGAATATGCGGAAGGGTTTGGATATGATCGTTGGAGGAAAGATCGTGACCATTTGGGAGCACTTCCTCTTCGAGGAATGGGAGGTTATTGAGGAGTTAGGGGAAACGGGGGTGACCCAAGGGTGAGGAAACCGAAGATGCCCTTCTTTGAGGGAAAGGATGCACATGGCTGGATCTACAAGGTGGAGCGATACTTTGCAGTCAATGGGTTGACTGAGGAGGAGAAATTGACAGTGGTAGGACTGTGTTTGGAAGGGAATGCATTGGCATGGTACCAATGGCAGGACATGAGGCGACTCATTCAAAGCTGGAGGGAGTTCAAGGACTGTTTACTAGAACGTTTTTGAACTAGTAGGGGAAGAGACTTCTACGAACAGTTCTTTGCCCTGATGTTGGAGGGGACAGTGGCAGACTACCGTGATCGGTTTGAGTACCTAGCTAGCAAGTTGGATCGTCTTTATGAGATAGATTTTTAGGGGAACTTTATGAAAGGGCTCAAATCGGAGATCAGAGCAGCTGTTAGAGTGATGAGACCGCGCGACTTGGGAGAGGCTATAGAGTTAGTGCAGCTGGTCGAGGACTAGAAGCTTCTGGAGAGGGAGGCTCTAAGCAGTAGCTCTAGGGGATCCTACAGGATGACTACTACCTTTCTAGCTCCCAAACGAGCTGCACCGGGAGGTTCGCGTGAAGTACCAAAGGGGAAGTCTGGAGGAGGGGAACCTCGGGGAAACTTTAAGAAGCTTTCTTAGAAGGAGACACAAGAGAAGAGGGCTAGAGGGTTGTGTTTCAGGTGTGATGAGAAGTACATGCCAGGGCATAGTTGTAATTACCGAACTCTTCAGGTTCTCACCGTCTGTGATGGATAGGGTGTTCAGGCCGTACCTACAGAGGTTTGTCCTAATTTTCTTTGATGACGTATTAGTGTACTGTAGAACCGAAGAAGAGCACCAGGAGCATTTAATAGTGGTCTTGGGAGTTCTATAGGAGCATCAGCTTAGGGCCAACCTAAAGAAATGCAGCTTCGCACAGACTAGTGTGGAGTACTAGGGACATGTGGTGTCTCAGGAGGGGGTGGAAGCAGATCCAGCTAAGATTGAAGCCTTGCAGAAGTGGCCTCTATCTAGGAACTTGAGGGAGTTGAGGGGATTCATAGGACTGACCGATTACTACCGGAGATTTGTGAAAGGGTATAGCAACATAGCCTTGCCTTTGACAGAGCAGTTAAAGAATGATAGCTTCATGTCGGGAGAAGCGGGTACTTAGGCTTTTGAGAAACTTAAGAAGGCAATTACCACGGTACCTGTTTTGGCTATACCGGACTTCAGTCAAACATTTGTGGTGGAGACAGATGCATCTGAATATGGGTTGGGGGCAGTGCTTATGCAGCAGCATACACCCATAGCCTACTTTAGTCAGGTGTTAGCAGCTAGAGCAAGACTGAAGTCTATATATGAACGGGAATTGATGACAATCGTGTTGGCTTTCAGAAGTGGCGACCATACCTGCTGGGACGGCATTTCATCATCAGGACATATCAAAGGAGTTTAAAATACCTGTTGGAGCAAAGGATGCTGACGGAGGAACTATTCCAGTACCCCTGATGGTGGATTGGGGGGGGGGTCCAGGAAGAAATTGGGATACGATTTTGAAATCTAATACCGACCAGGGATTGAGAATAAGGCGGCTAATGCCTTGTCCAGGTGTGGGGGAGAGCTCATGGAGATAACCATTCCAGTACCCCTGATGGTGGATTGGGGGGGGTCCAGGAAGAAAGTGTGCATGATGAAGAGTTGAAGAAGCTCCGGATGGATATAGTGAAGGATAGGAGTAGCCACCCATGTTACGCCCTCGAGGGGGAGAGACTGTTATACCTTGGACAGTTTGTGATGCAACGAACCTCAATCCATATTCCTCAGCTATTGCAGGAGTTACATGGGAGTGCCATGGGAGGTCATTCCGGAGTGGAAAAGACATACAGGAGACTTGCTGCTGAATTGTACTTGAAAGGGATGCATAATGATGTGCAAGAGATGGTGGTGAGATGTGAAGTGTGTCATAGAAACAAGTATATGGTTATGGCTCCATGTGGGTTACTACAACAGAGTATGGGAGGAAGTGTCCAGGGATTTTATAGATGGCCTACCACGATCAGAATGGTTCACTGTTATCATGGTGGTGGTGGATAGGTTGAGTAAGTATGCACATTTCATCCCTTTACGACACCCATACACCGCATTAACAGTAGCAACAGCCTTCATCAAGGAGGTGGTTCGTCTACATGGGATTCCATAATTGATAGTATCAGATCGAGACAGTTTTCCTCAGTTAGTTTTGGAGGGAATTGTTCAGGTTACAGGGCCACAGTTCTAAGACAAGCACCGCCTACCATCCCCGAACGGACGGGGGGCAAACGGATATAGTAAACCGGAGCTTAGAGACTTACTTGAGGTGTTTTGCTTCTGAAACACCAAGGATGTGGGCCAAATGGTTGGCATGGACAGAGTATTGGTACAATACCTTGTACCACTCAGCTTCTCAGATGATTCTTTTTAAGTAGAGGTGTCAATTTTTGACCCGACCGGAAACCCGACCAGGACCCGACCCAGAAAAATCTGGGTTCGGGTCAACCCTTTTGTGAAACGGGTCAGGTTCGGGTTCAATAAACTGACCCGTTTCAAAAATCGGTTCGAGTTTAGGTTGACCCGGGATCCCGAAAATGACCCAGAAATGACCCCTGCCAGGCTGCTCGCATCCTTGCCCGGCTGCCCGCGTTGCCACTTGCCAGAACCGCATTGCTCGTCACGAAGCAGGCCAGGCTGCCAGCGCCCCCGCCCCGCTTCGGCGCTGTTCGCGGTTCGCGTGCCAGCACCCCGCGCCCGCACCTGATTCGATTTGCTTGCCATCCCCCCCCCCCGCCCCGCGTTGCGAGCCTGGTCCCCTGCGCCTGTCGTTGCTTCGCCTGTAGCCGGACTGCCAGGTCGGGTCGTGTCAACCCGGCATCCGCGGGAGCCGCGGGTCGGGGACCAGGTTAAGATAGCCGCCCGTTACAAAAGAACAGGGTCGGGTTCGGGTTGACCGTAGAACCGGGTCAACCCTCGGGTTCGACCCGAACTCGACCCGGTCGACTACTGAATTGAACACCCTCCTACTTCTCTCCAAGGGCTATACGGAGAGAGACCCTCCACCACTTAGGTAACACCTTGAAAAAGAAAGTTTTCACAGAACTGTCCCAAGAGAGCCGCTTGAAAGATTTTTCAAAGAGTAATAACTTTAGGATTTTCCAGAGAGAGAGAATTGCAAGAGAGAGTATCTGAGGATTTTGCAAGAGAAAATTATTAGGCCAAAAGAAAGAGGAAAGAGATAAGTTTTGAAGGAAATTTTTAAATTGAATATTTGAAAATTCTGAAAAGCTTAAAACCTTCCATACATACTTAAAAATTCGGATAACAGAAAGATTATTAGAAATATTCACGCATGTAATTTATATAAATTCAATTATTGAGATCGAATAAATCAAAAGAATATTTGAGGTAATCAAAATCATTAAATGAATCCAAATTAAAAAAAGTCATTTGGCCAAGGGAATGTTTGTTGAAGATTTACAGTTAATGATGCATCAATCAATATTGAATGCAACATAAATTGGAAATATTGAAATATGTAATATTAAGGAGATTGATCATAACTAATACGGACATGACTACCGACACTTCTCTCAAGAAGGCGTGCAGGGTGTCGGACACCTGGGTCTGACACGCCGAAAATGTGTCCGATTAAAAAAATATTAAAAATAAATTGGACACGCGTGTCGGACACCCGTATCTTAAATATTTTATAATTTTTTAAAAATATAATTTCTTATATTTTGCGAGATTTAAACTAAATTTCTTATTTCATATCCATAACACCAAATCAACATCTGCATTTAATACCCATTCATCGAATATTTTCATTTTCATTTCTCTTTGGCAGTGAAGGTATTTTTATCTCCTCTCTTTTTGCACAATTACAAATCTTTCTCTTGTTGAACCAGAGTTGAAAGTAGTGATATTCAATGATGATGATATTGAAGGCCAAAAACAAACCTCTAAAGTTAATCCTAATAGTTGAAGCTTGAATGCTTGATGTTGTAGTAAGTGATTATTTGTTTATATTTTTGTGATTGTACTTGATATTTTGTACTAAATATTTTATATTATAAGCTAGACAAGTTATCATGTCATTCATTTATTATGTTTGTCATTTTTAATATGATATTACATTAATATATATACACTATATAAAAAAATTTATTGTCGTGTCCGCGCCGTTTCCGTGTCCTATATTTTCAAAAAAAGCCGTGTCCCGTGTCCGTGTCGTGTCGTGTCTGTGTCGCCGTGTCCGTGTCCGTGCCTCATAGAATACGGATGGGTTGGCCAAGAATTTTTAAATGAGTATATATGGATTTAGCAAGTTTTATAATAGAGATATTTAAATTAAAATTTGATTACCATGAAATATATTTACTAAGATATGATGAAATAAATTGAATTAAATGCAAAACCATGGGAATAAATTAATGATGTGGCCTTCCATATAAGGGTCCAAAGGAATTTATGCATTATGCAAATAAAGGAATTTTTCAAACTATTTGATTTTTGAAATTTGAGTGAAACTGAAAAGGATTCTATCAAATATTTCTTGAAACTAATTTAATATTCATATGAATTTATTTATTGTGAAATTCAGCCAACATAAAATTTTAAATGATGAATATTCTTTGATAAATAGAATATTTAGTTTGTATTTAATTTTGATTTTTGTGAGCAAGAATTGTCATTTTATGCAAATTGATTCAATTACCTAATAAAGGCCAACATATGCTAATTTTGGTGTTCTTGAGTTAGCTGATCAAGCTATGTTTAAAATTTTATCTGAAATATTTGAAATTAAATATCATTAGCTTCCAATCATATGTTTGTTGTTATCAAAATTTAAAATTTGAGTCATATAGCTCATGGAGTTAATGGAGGTTAAAAAAGATTGTGAAAGTGCCTTAACCACAACTTTCTTGAGCATCAACAATGATTGGGTTCACAGGACATAAGATTTTTGACCTGTAGAACTTATCATATGTTGTGTGATCTGCATTACTGTTGGTGATGTGCATGTCGAGCCATCATATGGATTTTGTTGTTCAGTAAAGTGGAGCGATGAGGCTTTTCTCGAAGTTTCTCCGCTCTAGCAGGACATGCTTTGTCGTACATTTTAGAACTTTTTTATCATGTAATTTGACTGCTCTCTGGCTTTAATTAATTACAGCTTATATAACCCAGAGGTTCAGTCAGATTATTTCATAGCCTGCCTGATATGCGGTGTCACTTAAATATATCAATTTGTTACTTATTATATTCTTTTTGTTTTAATGATAGCATATATCTGTGTTCATTTATTTCCTTATAACGATTGATGTTATATTAGTTGTGCTAATTTTTTTAGTCTTTTTTTAATCAAGAGTTTAATATGCTTACCTATGGTTATGAACCTAGTATGGATATACAGGGAGTTGGATTTGCTAAGGTAAGTTTTAAGTTTAAAAGGGAAGAAACTGTCTATATTTACACGAAATGTATATTTATTTTCAGATAGTATCATTGACTATCTCACTATATATGAACGAAAATTAGCCAGTGCAAGAACATTGTGTTTACCGTGCCCATGTCTGCCTCCTAGTCCTCATTCAAAATGTGAATATCTATCCTCCTGTTTCTTCTTCGTGAGTCATGTCCTTTAATGCACTGAATTTTTAAGTAGGATAAAATTCTGTTAAATTTAGATTTAGCAATCAATGAAACTCTCATCATTATGAAGTTTTTTAAGTCTAAGTGGAATTAGTATGCCTCTTTCGTTAGATTGGATAAATATGGATCACTGAGTTTCATCTGACACTAAAAGTTTGAGGAAAAAAAAAAGGTTAAAAAAAGAAACTACTATCCTGTTTGTGTATGTAGTGACTTGATAGTTAGAAATATTAAGCTACTAATGCTGTATTTATTCATCTAACGGCTTTGTACGTTAAAGATCTACTCAGACAAGATGATTCTATTCGCGTATTACCGACCAAACGCCTCCTAAAATCACATTCTCAAACCTCACTTGCTCCTTCCACTTGTTACTATCATATTGGTTTAAACTTTTTTTTTTTTTTTTTTAAAATGTATTTAACGATTCATGTAGCTGCCCCCACTTAGTGGGATAAAAGATTGATGTTGTTGTTGTTGGTTGAGCAAGATAATTGTTTTTTTATTACCTGTTCTACTTCACTGATTAGGTTGTACCATTTACCCCAAGCGCTGGGCTAGTGGAATGGGTTGATCGGACAATTCCACTTGGTGAATATCTTCTAGGAAGGTTTGTAATTTTAGTTATTGTGGTATTCCTTTTGGTCCTTTGAGCATATTTGTATAATTGATGTGTGTTCGTCTTTAACTACTCCAATCAGTTCAAGGAATGGTGGAGCGCATGGAAGGTATGGAGTGGGTGATTGGTCATTTCTTCAATGCCGGGAGCATATGACTAATGTAGGTGCAACTTAATTCTCCTGTAAAAAAATGAAGAACAATGTATGTCTATGGTAAAGCATGATGAATAGATGGTTATGAAATGGGTACAATGACAATGCACAAAACGCATCTCAGCAAAGCATACACGGCAAATTTTGGGCATTATTACATTTAAACTGCATCATTATTTTACATTGATCATATTTGTGTTAGATATTTAGCTTGTTATGAAATATAAATTAATTTGTTGAATGAAAATTCTTTATTTTCAACTCAAAGTAAAATATTAATGAACGTGTTAAGTGAAAAGAACAGGAGATTGAAAGAGAATGTTTAAGAATGGAGTGCAAAATTAAATTTTTTTCTTATTCATAACCTGATTGTGTGGTAGTTTTCTTCCAATTTGTTCCTAAGTAGAGCCAGTTTTTCTTCTCAAAAAACAAATAATTGGATGGCATGACTGAAGTTATAATTATTTCCTTCCGTTACTTTGCTTATTTATATTGTTAGGATGTTTCAAATGCATAATTGCTTTCTTATAATTAGTTGCAGATTTACTAGTTCTCAGAGATCAATAGAGTATACATGAATTGATAAGCTTGCTAGGAGTAGATGAATTGCCAAATGCATATGGCTTTTGATACAGTCCAAATGGAGAAATGAGAAAAAATATGGACTAATCTTGATCTGAATCGAGTAATGCATATTAGAAGTTGTCCCATCTGATGTAGGCGCTAAAGTCAGTTGCTCTAAGTCTTTTACTAACTAAAGGAATAACATATACTCAACTAGGCATCAAATAACAAACTTCAGAGGAAAATTAACTAAAGAAACTACTGAACAATACTGTAAAAGGCTCCGATGGTCGATCAATTGTTCATCCCCTTCTCGCTAATATTTATTACATCTCTGGTATATTAGTTTGAAGTTTGTCTTTATCACTATTAGACCTAAGCATTTCTAGAAGCCTTGGTAAATCACCAATTATCTTGTAAAAAGCCTTCTTTTCATGCTGAGAATATAAGCTTTTATACAGGAGAAAGATAAAAGCAAGGCATTTCTAAAAGTCTGCAAGAATTTCAGGTTTCTTCATGATTGATAGCTTCTTTCCTTAAGTATCATCTAAATTTTAGTGAGTTTACTGTTGTTTCATATTAAACAGGCCTGTTATGCGTTACTTCTTTTTGGAAAGGTTCCTGAGGCCTGCTGATTGGTTTGAGTGCAGACTGGCTTACACGCGAAGTGTGGCAGCTAGCTCAATGGTCAGTGCAGTCTCTTTTTTTTTTTTTTGGGACATTCATCTTTCTGTCTAATATTTTTGAGTTGACTAGTATTTGTGCTGTTTCTTTAGCTTTTTTCTGGCCCATGTCTTTTTTTTATAGTCATTCATGCTCTAAAATTTTAATCTTGTCTCTTCGGAATTAGATGTTTTGGCTGCATTTTCTGTAAGTAACCTTTTAAGTGTAGGTTGGCTACATTGTTGGACTCGGAGATCGTCATTCTATGAATATTCTCATTGATCAAGCTACAGCAGAGGTGGTGCACATTGATCTTGGTGTGGCCTTCGAACAGGGTCTCATGCTTAAAACGCCAGAGAGGGTCTGTAAAATTGAAGCGAGCTTTCTTTTCACTTTTGTCTCATCTGCTTGGATAATTTCAGTAATTTCTTTCTAACTAGCTTTATCATCATTAATAATTTGTATGCTGTTAACTTGTGTAGGTCCCCTTTAGACTAACAAGAGATATCATAGATGGTATGGGAGTTACAGGTGTGGAAGGTATTTTCAGGAGATGCTGCGAGGAAACCTTATCAGTCATGAGGACAAATAAAGAAGCATTGTTGACAATTATTGAAGTAATTCAAGACATCTTAAAATCTCTATTAAAATCTCTATTAGAGAACTATCTACTTCATGAAAGAAACAAAACATATTGTAACCTACTGCAGGTTTTCATTCACGATCCCCTCTATAAATGGGCGCTCTCTCCTTTGAAAGCCTTGCAAAGACAGCAGGTAATCAATTGATTTCACTGTTATGTTAAGGTGATGTAGCACAAGAAATTAGGTTCAGATTGTTTTCTAAAATCTTACGATTTATTTCATTTTTCTAGGATTTTTTATTTATTTTAAATTGGGGCAAATTACATTTTTAGATAATCTTTAGGTTTTAATTTTAATTGGATCACATTTGATTTGTATCTTCATTTTTGCAAAATTTCTTCTAAAATAGGGATTGTTGTCTTCTATTTTGATCAAATGATTTACAAATTAAAAATTTAAATCTCCTTTGTTATTCTCCTTCCTCTACCTCTCTACCCGTGGATTCCAATTTCTTCTCTTCTGTTGCTGCTCTTCATCATTTGGATAAATACTACATTGGTTATTATTTACCTAAAATATTCCATATATCCTTCATTGGAGCACAATGCACTAATTCATAGCACGTCTAGTATCATAGATATCTGATAGGAAAAACTTGAGTTCGCAAGTAACCCTAAGGTAATACTTGAGTTTGCAAGCGATCCTAACCAAAATCGGTAAGCAAACAGCAGAGAAACTGTTGTTTGTATCAGGAAAACAGCAAAATTCTGCTGTTGACAGCAGGAAATCAGCACAGTTTAGGAAAAACTGAGAGAAAAACGCAAGTAGAAACTTGTATTCCACTAGGAGAAGAAGAAAAACAACAAAGATACAAGTGTTCTTCAATTCGAGAGGAAGAACGTACTCTCCACAATCTCCGGCAATGCCAAGAGCCCACGTACAAACCCTAGATCTCAAATGAAAATTCAAATTCAAGATGAGGAGCCAATTTCCCCTCCAATCTCCTAATTAAGCAAATTAATCATAAAGGACAATAATAAACTTCCTTAAACAGCCCCCCACATTCAAATTTTCCCTCGTAATAGCAATTAAGACATGTTTGGCCAACCTGGAAGTCCCGCCCCCTTTCCCTCTTTGTTCTGGCGTGAATACACTTCGACCGGTCCAGGCTTGACCGGTCCAGCCTGCCCCTCCCGGGCCGGCGGCATATCAATATCTTCTGAGTAGAGTTCCATGTCATAACCTAAAGATATTAGCCTTATGATGCTAGAATTGTCATCACCCATCCTAGAGCTTGTAATACTAAGGTGAGAACAGATGGTTGTATGGATGTTTTAAATTTCATTCACCAATATCAAAATTATTGTCGTTTTTTTCATAATAATAACTTATAATATATTGGAAGGGCGATAATATTTACAAAACTTTATTCTGAACTATAGCAATTCTAATTAAATATCGCTCAATTGTAGTGCAACATTAATCATATACAAATTCTCTTCTCTCACTTGTTTGGTTCTCAAGTTTTCTTTCTGAAAATATTAAGTAAATAAGGTGATGAGTTACCATCATATCACAGTGTGTTAATTAGTTTTAAATCATAGCAATTCAGCAGAGAAAGAGACCAACATGCAAGCTAGTCATTATTTTAAATTGTAAGAAATCAGAAATTATGCTTATAATTTGGATATCACAATGATCAAAAAATTTCCTTAACATTTAAAATGCCTATTCATTCAAACTTGTGGAGCATAATCCCTTGAACAAAATACTAAGTTTAGTTAATGAATTTGATATTGCATCTAATAAATATCTAAATGCAATACCAGCAAATACTTCGTAAAAATATTTCAATTATGATTCTTTATTTTGAATAACTTTTTCTATCTCCTAGCAACACATCTACTTAAATTTAAGGCATATCTATCTAACATTTTCAAGGATTGGACCCACCCATTCACAAAATGCTTTTCTTTGTTCTAATATGAAACAGTATTGTGGCTTTTAGCTTTAACATTTTAATGTTAGGTCCCTATTGGAGTTCCAAATATATTCTTCTACGACATTCTTTTAGATCTATTACTGTCTTCAAATTATCCTTTATTTTACTCTTTATTTTTATATCAATTACAGTATTGAATATACTATTGAAGAAATTCTCGATATGCTTAACATCTAAATTGTGTCATGCGAAGTTTAACCTCTAGTAGGGTAAATTCCAAAAATGTTGTGCTTCGTCTAATTGTTGCTAAGTCTATAATTCAAAAGTCTACAATCTAATTGTATTGAGGAGTCGATAATTTTTTATATCATACTCACTATTTCCCATAATTGATTCTCACTCAATGTTGGTGGAGGCATTGGTTTTTTTTTGCACTTTTTTTAAAAAATGTATCTTTTGAAATATCACAGGCAACATACAATAACAATCAAACTTTTTTTTTGTTTGATGTTTTAGCGTAAACGCTTTATTTAATTTCACACAATATCGGCAAGCCAACTTTTTTATAGTGCTCCAACTGAATAACATCTCGTATGCTTGAAAGTTACCAAACATCCAAAGTTTTTTTTTTTTTGGAAGTCTTATTTACTCGAATATCATATGTTAGTACAACTTCCCACAAAATATTTAGGTCATTTATCATTGGTTATAAGAACAAATCAATTTTGGCTTTTAGATTATATAATCCAAGTATGATGCATGTGAGCAACATGTTCAGTGTGGTCATGCACTTTCTCGTGGAAGATTATAGGGTATAAGTATTATTACCCAATATGAGTATGGTAAAGTAGCCTGACTCTATGGAATAAAATCATCGGCACATAATTCAAGCCTAATGTTTTCTGGTTCATCTATAAAATGTAGATGTGTATGGTTGAAAGTACTTTCAGCACTCAACATCTTATGGATGAATCATAACACCTACTCTCTAAATTATTCCATGATATCAACTTATATGGCTAGCATAGCCCATGAATGCATAGTCTTTGAAGACATGGTAAGTTAGATAAATAAAATGATATACTATATGGGATTTCCATCCACTTTCATTGTTTCCCACTACTTAGTTTAAATCGAGGTGCATTGCAATACCTACATGTAGTTTCTACTAAATCATTTTTATTATATAACATAAAACCATTACTATAGCAATCTATTTTTGCTGCACTCAAATATTATTTACATTGATTTCTTTATCCCAAGTATTACAAATATGAAGCGGGGTTGAGCAAGTGATGGCAATGGGGTCGTGTTAGGGAGATCGGAGCGTGAAGGAGAAATCGGAAGAGGGAAATTAAGAGCGGGAATGCAACTTAATGAGGGATGGGAGAGGGATTGTGCGGTTTGAGGTAGCTCGTGCAGGGAGTAACCTAAGTACTCGCAAGTGAGGAGAAGCATGGGGCGAATGTGAGATGGAGAGAAAATGGGAGAGATAGGGATATTAGGAATTTTATTTTAATTATTATTTTTTATTTTGACTTTTAGATAATTTATTATTACTTTATCTTATTATTATTATTATTATTATTATTATTCATATTAAGGTTGGGTAAACTTTGGAATACTTATCAAGGTCAACTTTTAATTTGATATCATTAATCTTTACTTTTATTTAACTATTTGAGTCATCCTTATCCCTTGATTTTTCTAATTTATTAAATTACTAATTTTGACATTACACATATAAACTGTTATATAATTATGTAGGTTATAAATTTATTTCATTAAACTATATTATTTAAAATTTGTTCTCACCCTTTTTTAAAAAGGGATTTTACATGAATTTCCTTCTAAGCATATTTGTTTTTTTGTGATACTTCCTGTTTCAGCATTACTATATGTCAAATCTCCTTTCATGTTGGGCCATTAATGGTTGAATCCTTGGATACTTACCTTTGTAGGAAACCGATGATAATTCAGATTCGAGTTTGGAGAACTCAGAAGATGCATCTGAAGGGAACAGGGATGCAGCACGTTCTATATTGCGAGTTAAGCAGAAGTTGGATGGATATGAAGATGGTGAAATGCGTAGTGTGTCAGGCCAGGTAAGTCATGTGATGCAAAATTATATTTGAGCCCCATTAATAACTAATGAATAGGTGATCAGGCAAAGTGTTTTTCTTGCATCTTCTTTTCAACTAATGTGTTTTTGCTTCCTGTTTCATTTGAAATACATTGAAGCTCTGGCACGTATCAGGCATAAGTTCCTTGCCACCTATTTCTTTTTTTAAACACCCATATGTATGTCTTTTGAGCTTTGGCAGCAATCAAAACCACAGGTTTATGTGTTTATCATTATCATGAACAATTAGGAATTTGTGTGAAAGCTGTACCTGAAACCCATCACCTCTTTTCTTGCTTTGTGTTGTCCTTTCTTATGTTTTGCAAGAAAATAGTTGATTTTAGGATTTTTAAAAATTTTTGTATTACCTTAAATACAAGCGTCTTACTTCCGATGAAAATGTCTTAAGTTTCATTTTAATATCTCACCCATGTTGATCATTTCTTCTCTCATCAAATTGAAATTTTCTAGCAAGTTATTTATAGTTTTACCTTGCAGCCTAAACTTGTCTTTCCGCTTGACAGATTTACTAGTTCCCACCAATTGTTTTTCTCAGGAGCTTTCAACTCCTCAAAATTTGCCTTCATCCATTAGTGAGAATTTTTAGTGCATCGCATTATTAGGAATCTCCTTATATGACAAGTGTGAGGTAAAAGCTCAAAAATAAGGTGATAAATTTTCGTAAGCCATAATGTGAAAAGGATGTTTGGAAGATCAGAACTGTTATTTGGCTCAATTTCTAGATTGGATGACTCAAAGCTTGAGGATGTAGTAGAGACATACCTAGAGGATTTACTGAATTTGGGTAGTGCAGGGATTTGGCAAGTCCATTCTTTTGACGAGTTCTCCATCTCAAATAGACAATATCAAATGGCTGCAGCACAGAAGTTCCTTTTCTTGACATTAATGAGGTCATCATGATTATCAATACATTGCATAGTGGGTAGACCTGCATTTTCAATATCTAAACACCTGATCCATTGCTTTCAGTCATCAAGGATTCTGGATTTTCAAATTGAATGCTTGGAGAAAAATTCCCTTTGATTTGGAGAATGTTATGCAAATCTTGGATTTATTCCCTTCCCCCAAAGATGAGGTATGGCATATGATTTAAGTTTGAAAAAAAAAATATTTGTGATACTATATTTTTTTTCTAATTAGGATTGAAACATTTATACACTTTCTTAATTAAAGTATAAATAACAAACTCATTTTGTGGCTTGGGTGTCAAGTTTTTTATGATTGTGATTGTGGATGTGAACAGAGGCAACACAATCAAATATTATTAAGGGTTAAAGAGGCAAAAGCCTATTTGATGAATACCTTTTATGCAACACTTAAAAGAGATGTTTTGAAATTTATGATTTTATTGAGAGTTCTATTTATAAGGTATGTGAATAAGAACTACTCCCCCCTGAAGGTATTTAGGGACCTATTAGTAATGAGTAAAACATTAGCAACTTCTAATAAATGTATGTTTTTTTTTTATTTCGGCCACATTTGATGCTCAGGTGGATGAGTGGCTTTGCCCTTAGAGATAGGATACGAAATGAGCATATACGTGAAAAGGTTGGAGTAGCTCCAGTAGAAGATAAGATTAGAGAGAGTTGCCTTAGATGGTTTGGTCACATAAAAAGGCGGCCTTCCGATGACCTGGTTAGGAGAGTAGAGATATTAGATTTGACTTGTGTTAAAAAAGGTAGTGGTAGACCTAAAAAGACTTGGTTAGAAAATATTAGGAATGACCTTTCTTTATTAGATTTAAACGAGAATTTGACTTTTAATAGTACACAATGGAGAAAAAGGATTCATGTAGCCGATCCCACGTAGTGGGATAAAGGCTTGATATTGTTGTTGTTGTTGGCCACATTTTATGCACGAACTTTAGTGAATAATCTCTTTTTCATGGAAAAGATGATATTTTTGAAATACTCACGACCATTATAACTCCATAATACTTTCATATATTTTTGAAATTGTGTTTGTACCATGGAATAGAAGTTTTTAAAGATTTTTTCTCCGTCATATTCCTCTTTTTATTGAATAAGCCTAACTTAATCTATTGTGATCATCAATAAAAGTTACAAAGTATTTTTTATTAGAGAAAGTGATGGCTAACAAGAACCTAGGTATCACTATGAATCATGGTAAATGGAGTGATAGGTTTGTACGGTTGTGATGAAAAAGATGCATGATGATGTTTAGTATATTGATACACTTTACATCGGAGATAAGATAAATTTTTTATTCTTAAATAGATTTGGAAATAAGTATTTTAAATAATGGAAATTGATATGACTTAACCTATTGGTGCCATAGCATAATATCACTTTACATAAAATTAGAAGTTAAAGCAATACTTTGGTATCCAGTTGAGAAGGCTTTATCTTTATAGTAGAGCCCTTCCTTTTCCCTAGCACTGCAATCATCCTCAAGATTAATTCCTGAAATTCACAATGAGAAGGTTAGAAACTAGGTTGACAATGATGATCGGAGGTGATCTTACTGTTGGATACCAAATTACAAGACAATTTGGGAACATGAAGGACATCATTAAGAGTTCATAAAGGAGTGAGTTTGAGTTTTCCTATCTTGGCAATGATCGAGAGAGAGAATCATTGACAAGTTTGATTTTTTTATTGCCAGTATTGGTAGAAGATGAGAGCAATTTAGGGCAACCAATCTTATGATCTCGGTGGGCCTAGAGTCAATGATTTATGAGTGTAAGAGAAGCATTTAGATTTTCACTGCATTACTATTCATATGCATACGAAACCATTTGTTATCTAATTTCGAATGAATATATATTTGTGAGGTCTCTAATGTGTCGCCCAAAAGCTCTTAGCCTTTTTTTTTTTTTTTTGGTTCTCAGGTTCAGCAACTCATACAGGATGCTATAGATACAGACCGCCTTTGCCAAATGTTTCCAGGTTGGGGAGCTTGGCTGTAAGAGAAGACATCAATGTATTAGACATTCGAGCTGTAATTGTTCGTAAGTATTTGCACCTATTTCATGTACAGTATAATGAATGTGTTGTCATGGAGAAACATATATGGTTATGATTTTGCAGGCAAACTTTGTAAATTTAGACTCTTATTGATATGGCAAAAGAGTTACCATCCGAGCCCATTAAAAGAAGCCAGATGAAAATATTTAATTAGCATTGGGATTTTAATTGAGGTATGGTTGTTATGTATGAAAATTATATTGTTTTATAAGTTTTGATTTTAGATATTTACAAAATTTTGAAATTTTGTAATTGATGTATGGATGTTATATATGAAACTATGTTATTTTAGGTTTTGATTTTGGACATTTATGAAGTTTTATAATTCAAATTTTGAATTTTGAAGTTGGGATTTTCAAAAGTTGAGGGAACATTATGTAAAATTAAGGGGCTATTTGGTTGGTCAAGAAAGAAATGCAATGTAAAAGAAATATTTTAGAATTGTTTGGATGAATGTAAAATAATTATAAGTAAATGATTTTCTTTTTTGTTTGAAGCCCAAAATATGGTGGCGGCCGGCAATGGGATTGTTGACGATGGTGATGGCAGTTAAGCGAGTTTGTTTGCGACGTAAATTGTTCTTTCAAAATTAGACAAGTTTGGTTTATTTCAAAAATGAACCAAAATGATTTCAACTATATTTACTTTGTTCCACCTTGTATTTCAAACAAACATCAAAATTTTTAATCCCCTATATTAGGAATATTTCACATCATTTTGTATTTCAACTAAACAGCTCTTAAATAAAAATAGGTTAACTGTGTAAAATTAAATTAGATAGTCAATTTCCATTAAAAAATTCCAGCTCCTACCCTAACCACTCTGGTTGTCCTAAACTTTCTTCTCTCTTTATATTTTAAAATTTTTGGTTGAATGAAGACAATAAATGTCTTGCTAGGATGAAAAAGGAAGGATTGATGTTTTTATTTATTTAAACTTGGGAATTTGTTTCAAGTTGAAGGGAGCAACGTAGTCGGCATCAATATTAAATGGGTTCTGTGATAATTTCAGTTCTCGCAATTATTGTCAGTCATGAGATGACTAAGCAATACCTAATATTTTTCTAGTGATTTGAACAGCTTAAAACCTTAAAAATTTTTGAAACAGCAACACTTATTTTCTTCTTACTGCTTCTTAAACTAGCTTTCTAGTGGGAAAATAAAATTTTTATATTATTAATAAGAAAATTGTCCTATATAAAGCCTAAATATTTGTAAAAGTATTCTCAAGGCTTGATCTCATTTGTAAGTTAAGTATCAATATCATTTTATGGAACAATTATTACGTCCTCCGACCGGACGTAGAGGAACGTCCGGTCAAAGGCCAAATTGCGTCAAAAAATGAGAAATACCGAGCAATATCAAGCAATAACGAGGAATACCATCACGTGAAGATTCAATACCGAGTTATACCGAGCAATATCGAGTTATACAAAAGTTGTTTTGAGTTTTTCCTAGAAAAAACTCGGTATAACTCGGTATTGCTCGGTATATCTTAGTATAACTCGGTGTTGATCTTCACATAGCGGTATCCCTCGTTATTATCAAATAATACCTAGTAATATCGAGCAAATACTGAGTTTTTTGGCGGGATTTTGCCTCCGATCGGACGTTCCTCTACGTCCTTACACCGGACCTAATAAAAGTTCCATTTTATGGCTCTCAATCAAGATGTTTTTTTAACATGAATAGAGAGAGAAATAAGTAGATTTTTGGGACAATAGGAGGCAATATAGATGATATGATGGTGTGATATACAATAGAGTTCTCTAGAAGTTGTGACGAGGAGATGGTGACAATGGTGAGAGGAGATAGTGATGATGGTGAGATAAGGGCAGTGATTGAGAGAAGGAAGAAAGGAAGAACGACTGAATGAGTGTGAATGCCAAAGTGAAGAACTGAGCATCGATCTAGCCTAACTAATATAAATCAAATGACAAGTCGAGTTAGCTTCGGATCATTCTCGATTTATCTGGTTAACTTAAACTTGACTTGATATTGAAATTGGGGAATAAAAATGAACCCAAACACGAGCTATTTTCCAAATGAGTTAAACAAACTCAAAAAATTTTATTTGGGTCCCAATCAAATTTTTTTGTTGTGTCATATGTTGACACCCCTACCATTTATGTAGTAAAGTATTATATTTCAAATCCTAATATATAAGAAGTTTATGTCATAATATTTTAACACAAATCTGATTAGAATAAATTTAATTTTTATTAACTTTTTTAAAATAAATATAATATATAATTAATTATATATTACATTTTTTATAATATAAATGTATTAATATATCATGATAAAATTTAATACATAATATGTTAATCTAAATTTTCTCCACTTGCTGTTATTCGACGTTATTAAAACTGACGTGTTGCATTAAAAGTACTTAATAAAAACTTTTTTTTTTCTGAAAATTTTAAAATTAATTCTTAGTCTCAATCTATACTATCTCAATCATTTCTTAAAAAACTCCAACAAACTCAAGAAAATAAACTGTTTGAAAAAACAAAAATCAGTTAAAAAAAAAAAAGCCAAAAAAAAAATTCACCCGTGCGATATTCCTCCTGATGATGAAAGCTTTCAAAAAAGTCGGTGAGAAGAGTCCGAAGTCTCAAGGGCCGCTCTACCTATACACTTCGTGTCAGTTCATAATAACCACATGCTAATTTTGGGTCAAGATCTAACAAATAGCTACACGGCTAGCCAAGTTGAAGCCAATTCTCTCACTCCATTAGACCAATTTATGTGGACTATTATATCATTATGCCACTACGTGGGATCGACAATATTAATCCGTTGTATCTTATTCAGAATTAAATTTTAATTTAAATTTGATTAAAAAAATCATTTATGATACTTTCTAACCCCATTTTTTATATCTATCTCTATTTTTCTTAATATAGACTAAATTTAATACATATATTCTCCTAATAGGCTCATCAGAAGCTGATGTTTTACGTGACTAAACCATCTGAGGCAACTCTCTCCAATGACGAATTCACATTCAAGTGATTGTCCACCCTCAAAATTAAGTGATGTGTAACAGCTTATACACCCTTAAAATTTCAAACAAACTTGGAACACTCAAATTGTATAGAGATTATTCTGTGCGGTGTCCGAATGCATATGAAGGCCAATCCAGAAGTGTCAAGTCATCTAATGCACTGTGCATTGGATGACTTGACTTATCCGGATTGAACTTCGGACGCATCCGAACACCGCCCTAATAAATTTTCCCAACTGTAACAGACGCTAGCTAAAGGAAAGTTGGTCACAGTTTTCAAAATCTGATTCTCCTTTTTCCAACTGGTTGAATACCTAAAAAAATTGAATCCATTCAAACTTTATCAGAAAATCCGACATATAAATTGAATTTTTTTTTCTTTATGAAGGTTTCCGTCATTATATAGCTCTTAATCTTATCATTTTATTTGTTAGCATATGCTAATTCTTTTTCAATAAAATATGTTATATATAAATCTATCTACATAAAATATTATTACTTTAGAAGAGAAAAAAGTTTGAGGAAAAAAAAAAACTTCAATGAGCTCCTATATATATTTTAGTATATTATTGTTGTGACTTTTTTTTTTTTGCTTTCTAAAATATTGTTTTAGTAAAAAATGCTTTAAACTAAAACTTTTATTATTAAAAAGAATTAGAAAAAAATGTTCCAAATAAAGCCTAAATATATTAGGCTTATCCACCGAAGTTGATCGCTACATGAAAATACCCACTTAAGCAATAGGAGCAAAATTATATAATAAAAAGCTCAATATAGATAATTATCCACTACTTTTTTCTTTTATTTTGTAGAATAAATATTTTAACTTTTTTTCTCATATATTATCTCTCTCTAATCTTATCCGTCATTGGAACTACTCCAACTTTTTCATATCATTTCTCATTCTCTCCAAAAGTAAACTCACTCATCCAATTGAGTATCCTCATCTCCACTATATATATGTTCACCATATCAATATTATTATTATTATTATTATATTTCAAAAAATGTTAAAATTTTAAAAAATGTATATATATCCATGCGCAGTATAACTGAATCGCTTTAGTCGCTTCAATTTTAAAATATAAGGGGAGTGATTTGGGTGGAGAGCACATTGCTTCTCTGCGAAATCTTCGGATTTGTCATAGATTTATTTGATTACTATTCATTCTTTATCTTTACGTGAAATATTTGGGTCGGCAAATCCTCATCTTGATTAGGATAACTAACAAAATTATTTAATTTATTTTGAGGTAATTATAATATAAATTTTGATTAACAGAGAGAATGGGAAGAACCGAGAAAAGAAAAAAAGGGCAAATTCAGTAAATTGCGTATCAATTTAGTAATTAACAGCAACTATCGCATAGAATGTGAATTTAACTTAAATTGAAATCTATTTACTTATTAAAGAAGATAGGGTTTTTTTGTAAAAAGTTTAAATGTTAAAATATAAATTGAATATCTATGCACAATATCTTATAAAGTGGATAATATTTTTCTTGCTTTATTTTTTTATATCATAATTATAATTTTTATTTAATCATTACTTTTACTATTTTAAAGACTATTTTATACCAAAATTTTGTCTTCTATAGTAATTTTTTTAAAATAAATTTATAATCATTTTTATAAAAAGATTATATTAGTCCAAAGGGATAATTAACATGTATATAATCAAGGATAAATAAGGGTTAAAAATGATAGCTCTCTGTTTTCATTAATTGTTAAATAATGGCTTTCCTTAGATTTGATTTATGTTAAGAAAGATAAAGATAGAATTAAAAAATTTTTGATTAAAAAGTATTAAAAATGATCTCTCTTTATTAGATTTAAATAAAAATTGAACTCATAACATAATAGACAAAATGGATTCATATAGGCTAAGGCCTTGTTTGTTTTAGAGTTTTTTTACCCTTTTTATTTAAAAATAGAGTTTTTTTTTTATTGCCATTGTTTGGATGGGACACTTTAATAAAAATGCTCTTTAGCGAACTTCATTTTTCTACTATTTTCATAAGCTTTTTCATATTTGATCCTCTGTTAGATAATTTTATTTCTTTAGCTATTGTTTCTAAAATTATCTTTTATAAAAGAAGATGAAGAACCAAACGAAGCATAAGTAGTGGGATTAAAGATTGTTGTTGTAGTAGTATTAAATAATGACATTCTTTATTATTTTTATTTTTTAAATCGGATGCAAACATTTTAAAGTGTAAGAAAGTGAAACAAAATTCCATTAAAAATTTTGAAAAAACCACAAAATTCGAATATTTATGAACGGTGAGGAGCCACTCCTACAAATCTCATGTGTGCCTCTGGTAATAACAGGCCAGTCCTGCTTCCCCACCTCTCTATCCTGTATTTGCAAGCCGTTCTCTGACCTACGTTTCCTCCCTTCAAACCCGAAGCTAAAGAAGAAGAGAGAAAGTGAGAAACCAACCGATCGATCGATCGATCGAGATAGAGAAAGAGAAATCAAGAACACTATGGGGCATTGGATTTTCTCGGCGAGCATAGTGGCGACCTCTGCTGTCGTCCTTTCCGCAGCCTTGGCGCTCTGGCTGGCCACTCCGACGGTGGCGAATTTTCTCGTCGCCGGGGCCCCGCAGCTCTATGGATCCGTCGCCTCCTGGCTCACCCCGCCTTATCTCTACTTAATCGTCAACGGCATAATAATCTCCATCGCCGCCACTTCCCGGTACCAGAAAACTGTCGCAGCCGACGCCCAGCTATCCCCGTTCTCACAGCAGGCGGACTTCCGCGTCGAGGATGCCGATTTGCTAGCGGAGGTACAAGATCTGCGAATCCTCGGTGACGAGAGCTTGTCCGACCCGGCGAAAGAAGAGTTCGTGATATCGAGCTCGAGCTGGTCACCAAAAATGGAAGAAAGCAAGGATCCACTGGAGAAATCCACCGGAAAAGGCTTGCTAGTGAATAAGCCGCTTGTCTCCGCCCGGCTTGGCCACCGTAGGAGCATTAAGTCCATCCCAGAAGGTTCGTACGGAATCCCTCGATTCTTATTTCTTCTAGGGTTTTTTTTTTTTTAATCTATTTCGTCCCGTATATCCGCTCCAAATAAATTTTTATAATGCAGATATTCTTATTGTCCCAAAGAGTTAATCGGAGAAGATATTAGCGGCGGAAAATGTGCCGCCGTCCATTTGAAAAATAGATAAACATAAATTTAAAATATTTTTTACATCTCTAATAAATACAGCTTATTAAATTTTCTTTAAAATATAGGGAAATTTACATACATACCACTTTATAACATCTTATTTACATATCTAACACCTAAAACTTTAATATTACATGAATACCACCCTATATTATTTTAATATCAAATATGCCACTTACATTTCTTTCCTACCACTCATATATTTCATTTCTACCACTCATATTTGGTATGAAAATGAACTATAGGTGGTATATATGTAATATTAAAGTTTTAGGTGTTAAATATGTAAATAGAGTAGTATAAAGTGGTATGCATGTAAATCTCCCTAAAATATAATAGAGATTCTTTTTCAGTAAATTGATGAAATGGTAGCAGGCAAAGCATTGGGAGTGGCGCGGCCGCGGAAGAACGAGACCCTCGAGAGCACATGGCGAAGCCTCACCGAAGGCCGAGCGGTGCCACTCGCTCGACATCTCAAGAAATCCGACACGTGGGGCACACACGCTCGTGCTACCGCCGGCGGCGATCCCACGACGCCGCCGGTGATCCATGAGATTCAACATTTCGAGTCCTTTACTTCTCGCTCCTCCTACGCTGCCACCGGCTCACAGCCACCGTCCTCCGGGCGTGGTTACTCATCTCCGGTGGCAAAGCTCCGGCGAGAATCGTCTCTGGGACAGGACGATCTTAACCGCCGCGTGGAGGCCTTCATCAAGAAATTCAATGAGGAGATGCGGCTCCAGCGGGAGGAATCTCTGCAGAAGTACAAGGATATGATCAACCGCGGTAGCCATTAATTAACTTGGATGAAAAACGAAATTTTTGATCCACTCAAGGACAATAAGGTTGGTTTGTTTTGATCTCCCAATTTTATTCCCCTTGTTCATGATGTTGATCCGGATGCTGATTTATGTAAATTTTGGAATTTGGGGAAGACTGTTTTTAAAGGATATTGATAAATTAGAAGTTCTTTTGATACATAGGCTTAAAAATTCTCTAGGAATATTTTTATAGGACATGGTAGAGATGGAAATTAGTGAACATTTGTTAACTTTTGTAAGATTTTGTTATTTAATTCTCCTCTAGTTTTAATTAATTTTCTGATTTTTTTTTTGCCACTTTTATATTGGTAGTATTTTTAAAGTGTTTTATAAAATAAATTATTATTTTTGATGAAGTGTTGTAGTTGATATAGTATTGAATTAAAAAAATTTATGATTAAATTTAGAAGCATTTGAATTTTGGTTTTAACAAAATTTTAGTTGAATTGAATGTTTCGATAAGGCGAATCTAACGAGGTTAACATGATTTGATCTAACTCCAAATAAACTCAAATCATGCACTTAAAGTATATAAAACTTTGGTGACTCCTATTTTTTCTTTTTTAATTTGGGTTTGTGTAAGACTTTTATATTAAGTTAAGATATTAAAACTATTTTTAGCATCATAAAATTTTCAACTCTCAATAATTTGGTGTTGTTTGTGAGGACATATACCAACATCTTAGCAATACTAGTTCAACGAGTAACTGTAGTAATGCTAATTATAATGGATCTTCTAACTCCAATAATCATTAATTTGATAATCAATTGAAAACATCTATAATTTTGAGGGTGAGCAAACTCTTTGTATGAATATCAAAACAAAGAGTTGCATTTCATTAGGATTAATAAATTACAATATTTGCATTGTATTTTATATTTTTTGATAATATTGTATTATTATTTTATTGGGAATCAAGTCAAATACATTTTTCTCAATGTACGGTACTAGGCAGACATTGAGGCAATTATTGACAGTAAAAATTAACAAAGTTAATGTCAAGATAATAAGTCTGTAAATTGTGGGTTACACATCATCCTTCTTAACTTTAATAGTTTATTTTGCAAGTCTGCAATGTTACTCAAATGCGAGAACTCTTCACTTGTATGCATATCAATAATGTATGTGAATAACTAGTATTTAAGGGTCACAAGTTCAATTGGAGAAAACTCAGTGTAATATAACTTTACAAGATGAATTAGTTTTCTCTAATCATAAGTAGAAAATAAACAAAGAAACAACTCAGTATTGGTTGCAGAGAAGGGATTATTCAGTTCTTAAATTTGCATATTGACAACAATATAAAACAAATTAAAATGAAAATGATGCAAGTATATTCTTTCTTCACTTCTCTGTATTAAACCTCTTCACTACTCAGCTCCCTAGTGATAAGATGGAAAATTATTTTATCATGTTAAATGACTTTAAGAGTCTCACTCCTCTTACCCAAAACTCTAGCACTACTCATGATCATTGAAGTGATCTCAAAAAGATATTTTACCCACCAATGATTATTTGCTACAACCACTAAATATAGTTGGAGTTGATGATGAAGGAAATAAATATAAATAGTTTGTGCATTATCCTTTAATATTAATGTCTTTAAATCATTGAACTCTTCTCATAGATTAGATGCCCCGTCATATCATTATTCATGTATCATATGTATACTCACTGAATTATTTGCAAGTATATATTCAAGGGATGCCTTAAGTGCAACTGCATTGTTTGAGGGAACGTGCTGAATGCCTATAAATCTCTCAATAACTTCATCCAGTTTATCTATATAAATCCTTGCAATAGCTGATTGCTCCTTGGATATATCACAAGACTCATCCATCAAAATTGAGAAGTATGAATCACCAACATCCTTTATGATACAAACCAAAGTTTCAATAACTATGCCATGACAATTTTTTTTTTTTTTTTGAACCTTTGGTGAAGTTAACCTCAAATCTGAGATAACATTTGTCAAAGTAACTTTCTTTAGTTTGTTGTTATGATTAGCAAGGAAATAAAATAGCTCTAAATAATTTTCTTGATTATCAAATTCAGATGACTCATCATGGTCACGAAAGGATAATCCCCGACATAGAAGAAATCACACACAATAGACTACTGCTATCAACGTGATCCAATATATCCTTGTTCAACCATAACGTATGAAGAGTATGATCTTGAAGCTTCATTAAGTCCTCATATTTTTGTTTTTTCTTATTGTGTGCACTATTATATATCCTAGCTTGCTCAACTATAACATGTAGGAAATCATAGCATTTCAATTGATGTGGCCCTTTTAACAAATAGGTTCAATGAACATTTTCCCTCTCATTCACATCATAGCTCCAAATAGGCTGTTAAACCTCAAGATCAGCATGAAGATTGTTGATATTAATCTCCAAATGTTCTTTTCTCTTCAAATATCTATCTATTCTTCAACTAATAATACAATAATTACTTGTAGTCACATAACTTTTTCATAAAAGAAAATAAAAAACAATCAACATGACAATGTGATACTCATTCAAATCGTATGAATTTAAGATTTTCTTACAAGCAAATAAAAATAGAAACCAAATTGAATTAACATTCTTTAGTTGAGGTGAATCAAACCAAACTAAATTGTGTATGTCAACTATTAAACTAATAAATAAGATCAATGGTATCACTTAATTTTTCCTTATGTATAAGTTTGGTTTCAATTTGATGATTTGGTTTAAATCGGCTAAAAATAAGTGAGAAATTTAGAACTAATTTTAGCTCCTGGTAATACAAATATTGTTTAATTTTTGTGTCCACCCCAAATAGTTGAATAAGTCTGATTGTGATCATATCATCAAACATTCCATTATTATCAGGAAATTTTGTAATGCATAAAAAAATATGATCCAATAACAAGCTACTATGATGTTCATTAAATTATCTTAAATTTGTTTAAATTAGAATGCTCCAATATATTGAATAGAACCTTTAGCTAACTCAAGTATCTTGGATTGAACAAATTTGCAACCAATCTAAAAGTGCAATAATTCTTGTATTTATAAGACACAATGAATTATCGGTTCATATCTCTAACATCTTGGTTTTTTATAATATTTCATCTTTTAGAATATTTTGGTTTCATTATGGAAGAAGTAATATAGAAATGAATAATAGATTTGATTGGAAGGTTCGGGTCACTATTGTTTAGTGCCCAAAATAAACTTCGGATCTGAGGTGGACCTAAAATCATAAGACCCCACATTCGGGAATATAATCCCAAAATTCTAATAAATTGACAACTCAAATTAAAATATTTCATGATCCAAAATTTAAAGCCAAACACAGAATAGACATGGGTGTCTTTGAAATATTTTAGAATTCGAAAATATCTCTTACCTTTTATCCTTTGGCCTCCAACATAATTGTTTAAATTTGATCCAACCCCAGTTGAAATTTTATCCTCACTCCTTTGATAACACTTCTTGAAAATCTAAATGAAATTCCTACCATTATTTTAATCCAGAGTATTAGTAGGAAACTCAAGCTTCATACTATATAATTAACTATAAGGGCTTTCCTTCGTAGGAGATTCAAGACGCCATAGGTTTAAAAATCAATTATCTTTGGAAAAATCAAAATTAAAGATAATCATTATCATCATATTTGAATGATTTGATACTAAACGATATTTTCTTTTCTTGGGAAGATATATCATTTGTTATTATAATTTTGATTATGAAATTAATGATTATACATGTAGATTATCATAACTAAATATTCGACCGAACTTCATTTTGACCATTCGAGGTCATATGTAGTTCATTCTTAAATTTGGCTATGATATTCATGATAGAATTTATAATTTTAAATCGGAACCCATTGGAAAAATTTTACTTTCGCCTTCCAATGCAGTATATCATTTCCAATGGTATGTTCAATCTCAGAATTAAAATTCAAAAGCCAATTTCAAATTTTCTAAAAAAAAAAAATAATTGCTTTGCATCTTTCCAAAGCAAAACTTTCAAAAACACCACCAGACTAGCAAACTGGAAAATGGTATTATAACTAGCTATAAGTGATGTCTGATTGACACTATTCATATGTCATATTTGGGTATAGCAGATTCATAATCATATAGAATACTCAACTAGAAAAACATATATATATAAATAAACAAGAATGAATGCTCAAACATACCCAAAACCATCTCATTAGACTCACAAATCATTTCCTATAACTCTATTTTACAATTAATTTTTAAAACTACTGCTATGATACTAAAATGTTTATCACAACCCAACTCAATAAAACCCACAGATTAGACACGACTTATCATGTTAGTTTGCAATAGGCAAGCCCCAGGATCTAAGTTTTTAAAACTTATCAAAATTTTTCATCTAATTTTACCTTTAAAAAAACAACATATCACAGCACTACTAATAATATTCAGTGTGAAAATAAACTCATCCATAATTTTTTTTATTTCATCAAAATGTATATACAATAATTACATTATAGTATATGACTACCAGTAGGAATATAAAATAGAGCAGAATAATATCTAGTCATGATTGTGCAAAAGTCAAACAAAAGAAATATATATACATACTCCTATCATATATGAATACTACTACTCAGCTAACTCTTTCCCTCTCTTAGACCCTAAAAATATAAGGCGAAATAACTATGAGCTAACATAGCTTAGTATACCACATTTATTGATCTAAGTTTTCAAATAATTCATTTTTTAAATGTGCAACTGAGTTTAAAATAATTTATATTAAATCATTGTATTGAAACAAAATCGTACTTGCAATTATTATAAAGCTTTTATAACAATGTTGGAAAGTAAATAAGCAAACACTTCTTTTATCAAAATAGAGAGCGACAAATTCCCCTTAGGCCCTTATGCCTCCCAAGGCTAGTACTAGAACATAATGTGTATATATCGCTATAACATGCATGTAGCCACCAAAGTATGCCTAAAGTATTGCCTCAAATCTTGTCAGGTCATAATGGATTGAATGGTGCACTGACTTTCCAGGTGTTACAGGGTAATGGTGGTCTAGGTTATAGTAAGCAAGTAACGTAGGTTAGAAGAATTATAGTTGGGCGATGATTGTCCGAAGATTGTGGTTGGGTCTGATGACAATGAGGGTTCATCGGCAATGGTGCTCGGGCGGAGCTTCAAGATTCTTCAAACTTCAGAGCTCTCTTGAATTTCTAGCCCAAGCTCCAAGCCGTCCCTAAATGTCTCATCATTCAATAAGTAGAACTCTTTTTATAGCTGTTGAGAATGACACGCTCCATAAATATAGAGAAAATCCAGAGCAAATTCAAGGTACTCTATTGGATGACATATTGATTCCCTTTATCATAGAGCATCCGTTTAGCATTTAAGTGCCTTAATGACATTAAAATTTATAATTAGGGAATGTGTTAAAACAACATCATAGATATTAATTGTAGACGATTAATTCTATGGAAAAAGCTATAATAATCTAGAAGTATTAGAGGTTCCTTCACGGGATCTTTTGTCGTTTGTTCGACCATTCTCTTTTGAAAGAGAGTAAACTGGAGACTAATGGGTTCAATATAAATATTATTGTTCATATTGTGACTTACAGTTAGTGATGTCACGTATCGACCTTGTAAGTGATGGTGCGTGTCCATATTACTGGCGACTACAGACAACTAAGTTAGCATGCGTCTGCATTGGTGTCAACAACGTGCATCGACCTTATAAGCGTTGGTGTGCATCAATGTTGTTTATAATGACTGATGATGAATTCAGTGGGTGTCAGTGTAGCAAAGTTATGGTGATTGAAGAATTGTAGTATGACAATGGTGATTAGGAAACTATAGTGGGGAGATAATGGTTAGAGGGGTAGATGTTTGACTATGGAGGTTAGATAGCTATGGTCTGATATTAGTGGTCTATGGGTGTTGGTTTGATGGTGTCAATTCGTTGGCTTTAGTATGGCAGTGTTTTGTCAATAACATTTTAACGGCATTAGTCCTAGGACGGTGGTTAGAGATTCATTGTGGGTATATGATGGTTAGCGGGAAGATGTTCAATAGTATTGGTAAATAGTAGTGATTCAATGATGGTAGTTTATTAACGATGGTTCGATGGTAGTGGGTCGGACAATGATAATCAGATGGTGGTGGGAGAATGATGGTGGTTAATGACAACAGTCCAATGCCAAAGCTCTCTTCAATTTCAAGCTAAGGCCCGAGCTCCCCTTCTTCCATATATCGAATGAGGGTATAGTTATAAATTTTAAGTATCACTCCTTGTAATTATATTAAAAAAAAATCAAAACAATATTAATTTGTTGATCATAGCCTATTCTTTCAACATCTAAGTAATTTAATGATATCAAAATTAAACTATGTTGGACTCATAGAATTCATCTCTTGAAAACTCTTGATTTGACTATAATCTTTTAATATTTAAATATTATTTAATTATTCAATTAATATTTCAAAAGAAAAATTATAATAGCCATATATTTATTTCATAAGCCGCTCAATTCTACTGTAAATTTGCATTGAGATATCAGATTTATGCTTAATTGGTTGATTTTTCAACTAGCCTGAATGAGAAATGAACGTGTAATACTACAGGTAACGCGCCTTCCTACTTGTTTCCCCTCCGGTTCCTTGAGACCCCATCTTCCTTCAAGCTCTTACCTTCTCTTGCCCCCGTGTCCACCCCAATATCCAGAAGCGGCGAATACAGTACTAACTTTTTCTATCTTGTTGATCCGCTCGGAGAAGACACGGATCCGCCCCCTATCGCTGCCAGAACTTGGGATCGCATCCATGGAAGTGAAGTTGTGGAACGACAAAAGGGAGCGGGAGATGTATGACTCATTCGCGGATCTCTACGCCATCATCAAGACGACGGAGAAACTCGAAAAGGCCTATGTTCGTGACCTAGTCCCCTCCTCCGACTACGAATCGGAATGCCTCAAGCTCATCGCCCAGTTTAAGACCCTCTCCTCATCCCTCCGCGACGCCGTTCCTTCCATCGAGCGCTTTGCGGAAGCATACCGGATGGACTGTCCCGCTGCTCTCAACCGTCTCCTCATCTCATGTGTTCCGGCCACCGTCGAGCACCGCTCGTTCTCCTCGGCATCCACCGCCGCCTCCGCTTCTGCTGTGGCTGAGTGCGTTCAGCACTTCATTACTGCAATGGATTCGCTCAAGCTGAACATGGTTGCGGTGGATCAGGTGCATCCTCTGCTCGTCGATCTCTCCTCCTCGCTTGCGAAGCTGGGAACGGGAATTCTTCCGTCGGATTTTGAGGGGAAGGCAAAGATGAGGGAGTGGATAGCGAGGCTAGCGAAGATGGGAGCGGCTGATGAGCTAACGGAGCAGCAGGCGAGACAGCTGCTCTTTGATCTTGAGTCATCTTACAGTGCATTCATGGCGGCACTTCCAAATGGTGGCTCCTGATTTTATTGTATGTTCTTTGCGCTCTTCGCGTTTGTTGAAGTTTTTCGGGATTATATTTGAACCTTTTAAATGTGAACATGCACTCTTATATATAAAGGTATGTGAAACACCATGTGCTTGACAATTAGCGAAAGAAGTTTGTTGGGTCCTCCTGTGATTCAAGGCTGTACATTAGCTTTACTGTTTTAATCGAAGGCTGATATTTTCTTTCTAGGATATAGCTATCAAAACATTAAGATTGTTTAGTTAATTGAGCATATCTATGTTTTATAAGATCTTTTTTTTTTAAGTGAATAGTCCTTGTTCAGTAGATTGATTGACTTGAAGTTAACAACAAATTATTGGATCTGATTGAAGGTACTCTACAGAGTATTATGCAAAATTGACAAAGAATACACCACCGTAGCATCTACTGATTCATTTTGTTTGAATAATTACGTATCTAAACCAAAAATCTCTATTAGACACAATAAGGTGAAACATATTATCGAGGATGCACAGTACTTAACGTGAAAATCTAGTTAAATGCTAGTGTTTTCAGATTTTTTCCTTACATGCTTTGAAGAAGAGTTTGATGCACGTCTTGCATTAATTATATCACTTGAAAGAAGAACTAATATTCTGGTGTGGAACTTGGAATAAAATCATCACAATCTTTGTGAAAATCTTGCATAATTTACTAATCTTCATTCAAGTGTGATGGGATATTCCCTGATTAATTTTAGTTTTCTAGTGACCGCAAATAATGTGAATGATGTTATGGCTAATTGGTTTAAGATATCCATCTTGGTTCATAAAGCTTCTTATCAATTTGTTATTTAGTGGAACTTCAGCGTAGCCAGTAGCCACCATTTATTTTGTGAGTTGAAATATTGAAGTTGTGACAGTGCAAAACATGGTGTTTCTATTAGCATTTGAATAAAGATCTCAAATAGAATTAGCAAAACTAAACTAAGGAAAAAAGCGACACTATCCTTCTTGGAGATGATTGGGGTCTCAATGGACCTTTGAATACTAACCCATGTCCTACTTCTTTAACTATTCTTCTTCGCTTACCATATATAAACCATTTCTGCTCATGAACTTCTTGACGTGTGTTAGTTATGTCTGCATTACAACTTCTGTGATTTTTACTTTTATCTGAAGAGCCTACAAACACATGAGATATTTTTTTCTGTTTAAACATTTCCTAGATATTCCAAAGCAGAAGAACTGTTAAAAGTTTTAATACAGATAAAGGGCTGGCACTTGATTGGTATTTGGGCACTTGATTATATTATTAAAAACTATGCACTTTAATTACAAAAATGTGATAAAAGAGATTTTTTATTCAACTAGATTGAGTTATACCATATGATATTCTGTTATGAGTCAAAATCAGTAATTGTTTAGAATCTTAAATTTAGATCATTGCAATAGTACTTGCTTTAGCATGACATACTGATTGTTTGCAAAAGTGATGGGGACATCAGATCATCATGGAGAGTTTATCAGAGACGCGGCCGTCGATCTACGGCCACGATCGAGTCTTTATACTTTTGAGTCGTTGATGTATTTTATTTTCATGTAGCTTGCTTATGTGGCATTTATGAGTCGTTGTATTTTTATTTTATTTTATTTAGTTGCTTATGTGTTTTCTTTCCCGTTGTACCCCTCTTATGGGAGTTATCGTATGTGAGCCCAAAGGGCGTTTGTGTCTTTTGTTTCGAGTCATGTTGTAGGAGGCTATTTAAAGCCCCATTTTATTCTATTATGGATTCTATTTTAGGAAAGTTTTTGAATGAGATCCCTTTGAGTATTTTCCTTCAATTGGATTTAATTTTAAAATTTCCTAATCCTACAACTTAAATTAGGGAGCTCTATTAATTCCCCTAATTACTCCCATCCCCCATGCATGCCGCCGGCCACATGCTCCCACCCATTAATGCCATATGCAATTATTTCCTATCCCCAATTCATACTTTGGAAATAATTCAAATTTCCCTTGACTCCTCTGACCGAAATTTCTCTCCACCGGGATTGGATTTTGTTATTGCATAAGTGGTATCATCCCCTTTGGGAAATAGAGCAGATTTTCTATTTTGCTTTTTCCCTGTTTTGCCGCCCAACAGCTGTGTTCCGTCCCTCACCCGTAACTCCCCTCCTTCTCCCACTTCTTCTCCCACTTCTTCTCCACATCTCATCCCCTTTTGTTCACAGCCATACACTCAACCCGTCCCATCCATCTTCTCTACGTTTAGAGCTGATTTTCCTCTCAGATTTGAGAAGGAAAACCTGAATTATTTCAGGTTTCTTGACAGCCATAACCAGAAATACTTTGGAGGACAATTGGAGATCGATCATACAATCGAAGAATACGTAGTTCGTATTTTGTTCCAATTGACGGAAGCCATTGAAGAGCATTTCGAAAGTCTTGAGTGGAGAATTCCAAAATCTTCTTAGCGAAAGGTTTTCTTTCTACTTGTCTTCAATTTCTTCTAACTCTAAATTCTCGTTTGGTTAAGATTGTACTCGCTAAAGCCTACTCCGAATGCTCTTGCCAAAGCCTAGTGAATCATAGGAATTGAGTGTGCTTTCTATGCATCCTAGATCTCATTGTTAGATTAGGGATTAATTTGAAAGCTACTATTTTGTGTTGTTTTATTTTCTTAATTATCTTGCACGTTTCAAATTCGGAGCATGTGATTTCGCCTACGCAATTGATCGCTTCATTTGTCTTAACCGTCGTTTGAAGATTGCTTATAGTTTTGTTCTGAAATTATTCTAATTTAATAGTTGTGCAATGTTCAAATGAAATCATAACCATAGCATCTAATTAGTCCTGCATCAAAAAGTTTTATGGTTTTTTAATTATGTTGTAATATCTCAAACACGTGATTCTTTGATAATACATTTTTTCAATTTTAAATTATTTTCTAGTTTCTCTTTGCTTGATTTCTTATCCTAACAACAGCTGCAATGTATAACAATGAATTTACAAGTTACTGGATTGATGATATCATTGTAATTTCAAGATCTAAGAGTATTGTTAATTTCTATGCTCTTTTCTTGTGTAAGTTAATTGCATGCATGTTCTACATAATAAAAAATTTCATAGAAGAAATTTGGGTGAGTATTTCTTGAAGTAGGTGACTTAAGAAAGTAATGTATGAGCGTAGCACATGAGTTATGGCCAAAGAGCTCAGCCCCAAGGTCCAAGGGGGACATAGTTGAGTGGGGGGAAGTGTGAAGTAGGTGACTTAAGAAAGTAATGTATGAGCTTAGTACATGAGTTATGGCTAAAGAGCTTTGCCCCAAGGTCCATGGGACATAGCTGTACTCACTCATCCTTAGCCTCAAAAAAGCCAAATAGAGGTTAGAAAAAATGATCCTCGAGTAATACAACGACCAAGATGAGGAGAGCTCCCTCAACCCTATGAAACCCAAGTATCACAATGTGTCAATGTACCATTCATGAAAGCAACAATTAGAATTTGATCTGGACCCCAAAAAATTCTTCTATGTCATCATTTCCATATTTAGAAGTTCTTCAATTTGTAGCCTTGAGTCTACCTTGATAGGTAACATGAGGCATACAATTTTTTGGCCTTTTCATCTTTACATGATGAAGTCTATCATTCCTTTCAAGCCAGATATTTGAAACAAATGATGGTACCCAAAGTTAAGAAATATAACATTTAAATCATATGATTAGAACTACAAATAGTGCTATGATCCAACACTTAAGTATGTGAAATACCAAATTGAAAAAAAAAAATTGCCGGGGAGAAGATTTTGGATAAGCCACATTTAGTGCGAGCATTCAAAAATAAATCATTGTCATTCTCCTTCCTAGAATTGCATAGAATAGAAGTCGAGGAACAGTTAATTCAATACCTAAGATTTTGAGCTTTTTTAGAACCATTCAAACAACTTTTTTATGTTAAAGAAGAAGATATGAGAGTGACATTTAAACTAAACAAAATTCATCTAGCAGGCATAAAGCAAGCTGGAGTAAGTGCATTTTTTGGCCATAGAAAAATTGATTCGATTATACTTTCTAGATGAATTTATGATTTCCACCACTATAGAAATATTGGAGATATTATCCCAACATTCAACAGAATTGCGAAGATCAAGAGGAAAGTTCCAACCACCATCAGAAATAAGAACATATAAAAGTTGTGTTGCAGGAAAAGTTAAAATAGCGAAGGTAGCATCTCCAAAAGCTCCCAGGTTGAGAGCCATCCATCCATGAGTCATAAAGTAGTGATATAAGCTTATCGTCTCCAATAATCACCTTGAGTTTGTTCTTATACTGGAAACAATGGGTTTGATGCTTCTCCAAAATTGAGGGCTGTGGCACCCAGAATTATTCCCAGTAGAGATATAGTTAGATTTCTTCCAACTGATGAGAATAGTATTGCTGCTCCAAAAATGCCAAGTCTTTTCATTTTGCATAACATGTTCGAATCAACAGATGGAATAATGCCATGCCTACCTTTTTCTTTGGTTCTAGTGGAGAAATGCCACAGCATAATATACATTTTTCATAGCAGTATCGTTGTCATGCAAGAATTGAGATAGCATATTAACCATCTTAATAACACCTATAAATGAACATAATGATCTAAATTAATAAGTTAGCGGCAAAGTGATGCTTTGATGAGTTATAATCTCTCAGAGAAAGTTATAAAATTTTATTTTCACCCACAATTCAATTATTGACTTTATTAAATAGAGGTTCACATTATTTTAAGATCAACTTGGTGCTAGAGATAGGTAAATTGAGGTTAAAAGCCTCGTTGAGGATGGATTATAAGATTAACATTTTTAAAGAAAAAAATCTCAACTTCTCAATATTCACATTGAGCTCCATAGAATCCTACAAAGTTTGGAAAGCACAATTAAGGCCATTAATAGTATCATAGTTAGTTTTATCTAACATTAAAAAATCATCAACGAGGGCAAAGTGGCTAGATTCTAATTATGGTCCATGTGGTTATTATTAGGGAGAGATGAAGAATTGAGGGATGAGTGGTCTTAAGGGGGATATGAACTAAGGAGAGTAAGAGAAGACTGCGACAAGATGTGTGGGTTAGGATCTAGAGTAGCATACTTGGCTTAGATTTTTGAAGAAATTTTCATAACATTAGGATTAGCATGAGGACCTCTAAAGGTAGATATATTTTGTCTATTGTTTCTACTACGACTTCTACCATGTGGTTGATTGGGAATAACATAAGTTTGATTAATATTCTCTAGGGAAATGTGTCATTCATTGGATTCACGAGCAAATGAGTTCACAAATAAGGTAAGTTGAGGGTTTCCAATCATATACAACTACTTGGGAGCATTTGATTCTATTTATATTCATGGAGATGGAGCTAGGAAAATAGAATGAGAGATTAATAAGTAACAGAAGTAAGTCTTGCTTTTGTAGCAGTTAGTTATTCAATAGTGAGGGGAATGTTGATTTTGCTAGAGATGTTATTAGGATTCCAACAACAAAGAGTAAAATCCAGAAATTTGACTCATTAAGATATCTTAGTAAATTCGTCCTCAGTTTGCTAAAAGTCCTAGGATCATTTCCTTAGAATAATGGCTTATTATTTATAAATCAGGGGCCGTTGTGCTAAGCATTTTTAAAATCCTCGGCATGAAAAAATGAACTAGGCAAAAGTCATTTGAATGAGTTTAAAGATCCAAGGTACCTTTCATTGAACATAATCATTTTACCATAGCTAGGTGAGATCCATAGCAGAACCTTTTCACTGATATTGCTGCCCACCAGAGTCATATCTCCGTTAATAGTTCCTTGCGATAAAAAATAATGTTGGGCGTTGGATTTGAATAGATAATTACAAGTTAATGATGGCCGGCTTCATAAGATGATGCTATCTTGGGGTCATTTGACTTTTTTAAATGAATCAAAATCCTCCTCTTGTTTAAGATATTATAAATGATAACTGTCATATGAGTTGTTGGTTGGCGTGGTCATCTAACATAGTAGGAGGCATCATGTTTTTCTCTACAGTTGATGAGTATAGGCCAGCAAAGGAACAATGCTTGGGTTTAGAAAAGGATTAAGAGAGAGTGGAAAGAATACTATTGAGATGAAAATGAAAAAAATATTTGAATGAGCCAATATTTGCATCATTTATTTAATTTTTTTTAAGGTTTTCTAATCTTAGAATGGTTGAAGGCGCTTTTGCAAGAATATAATAATTTCAATCAGATCACAAGTCAATTGAGCTCGATTGATATCAATATAGGCGATGAAGTTTGTGCTTTGAGCTTGTTGGTATCATTATCAAAAAATTGGTCTGGAACTAGAAAAAGAATTAGTGATTAGCAATTTATGTTGGTTTTTGAATTTGAATCTCAATGATATCCGCACCCTGAGGTTGAGCAAGAACATTATATGCTGAACATCAAATAAAGGTTCTTCTATTGTTTTAAATCCTTAGAGCAGAGGGACATGTGCAGGGAGAGGCGATAATGGAGGCAGATTCAAATCTCAACAAAGGACAATTAAAAATTCATTACAGTATATTTTATATAATTTATCGAGACTGGTCACATGCTGGTCATATGAAAAGTAATCGGCAAGGTTCAAATAAGATGGATGAATTCACGAATGCTGCAATTGAAGATATCTATGATGCACTAATATCTACTGTATATAGTCTTATGGAGTCCTAAATCTTGGACTAAAATGTCTTTTCTTTTCACTTCATATAAAGAGCCTTTGACTAACTATCATGTAAGAGATTTATATTGTTGATGATGAAATCTTGAAAATTGAAGGAGTTAGAGATGTGCAATTCTAGGCTAGTAATAGACCTCTTCCTAGCTTGAAGAGGAACCTAATATCAATTAGGCAGGTTGGTAAAGAAGGTTATGCCTCAACCTTCTGTACCGATACTTTTAAGGTTACCAAAGGTGCTATATTGATAATTTATGGAAGTAATGTTGACACAATGTTCATGAAGTCGTGGGAGCCATTATGAAATTTATTACTAGTGATTCTAAAAGCTCAATTTGAGAGATAACTTGTATCAAGTGGGAGCTTCTAAATGCATGGAAGGTCTTACAAGAAAGACGATATTTGAGGATGAGTGGTACGGCAACAATGCAGAGATTATGGAAAAAGGCTAACATATTTATCATTAATGGACTGATGTATTACAAAGCCTTAGTCAAACCCCATGGATGGTTTAGAAAGGTTGTTGCATAAAGATGACTCTTGCAAGGCAATACAGCAAAAATTTAGACTCCATAAGGAAAATTGTTAAATGTGGAGACTAATTTCTTGACCAAATCTTTTGCAAAGTCAAAAACTACATGTGTTTTGTTACATTTTTTTTTTCATAAATTTCTAAAAACTCAACCTATTCTCTAGAAGTATATTACTTGCCTCCTAAATGTCATGAGCTATCTCTAAGCATTACATAAAAAGATGGTTGTATGGTGTTAAAGTGCACACCTCATTCTTCTTCTTTTAGTCAGGTGCAAGCAAAGGCTAGAGGGTTAGCTAGTAGAGTGGTTGAAGATTGATAATTACTTTGGTTGGTATCATATAAAGGGATTTCTAGTTTGGGTGGTTGAAAACAAGCATTGAAAGAATGAATGTGAAAATTTGAAGGCGAGGGCCTTCACAATAGAAAATCGGCCACTATTACAATGGTTGGTGATCAACTTAGGAGATAAAAGATAGGGAGGAAGGGAGAATATTTACGAGATAAAAAATTAAAAAAATATATATGAATTTACAAATATTTATATCCTTTATTTATCTTTATTTCAGTTTAACATCTGTATGCACTGAGGGCGCTAACCCGATTACAGATTTACGCTATACTGTTTTTTGCCATGACCATGTACTGCTTAGAAAAGGCCATTTATGCTCTTCCTGATGATCTACTTCTCAATATGTATTCTTGCGTGATTTTTTGTTTACTTTTATCTTTTATATCTTTATTTTATATGATTAGTGATTACTCATCCAATCAAATTAGGACACAATGGAGAAAAAATAATTCATGACGCCCACCCAATCTGATGGAATAAAGATTTGTTGTCATTGTTGTACTGTCAAATCAAGCTCGAACTTTAATTTTTTCACTAGAACAATTTAAGTTCTAGAAATTGTAGATCTTCCTATTCTAGAAATTTCACAAACTTCTATTTTGTAGCAATATTTGGCAATTGTATGTGTTGGAAGGCCATTTTATTCTTCTGAGTATAACGTATATTTTGTTTTACATATATGCAGAATTGGCTGTCTATACATCCAAACCCTTCAAAAACTCGAAGTTTGATGTTACATGTTTTATTTGTATTAATCATCTCTCTAGCAGCTGGGTCCTTTAGCAGTGCGTCCCGTCAACTGCTGTGGTTTTAATTGAATAATATTTGACCTCAAACTTTCTTCGTGAACCTGCCAGAAAAGAAAGTGCATGAGCTTAATAGAAGAACGAGGGGGAGAGAAAGAGAGAGAAGGCAAGAAAAAAGATTGAAAATGAATGATATATAAAATATGCTTAATTACTTGTAATTTAGAGACTAGTCCAAACAACTCAATACACTCTTCTAGGAGAAGTTTTTCTTTTGCTACAATTTGAGAGAGTTCTGCGACCAAAGGAGCGGTGCGTTGAGCCTGTTAAACATTGCAAGTTTCAGATAAGTACTTTGATACTTCAAACACAAGCACCTGATGAAAATTAGCTACAATTATTATACACAACTGTTTAAAATTTGGATTGGAGTTTGATGTAAGCATGAAACATGCACAGATCGTGATCACAATCTCTGCGAATATTGATCCAGAAAGATTTCGTTTGGGGCGGTTTTTTTCTTTCTTTCTAAAACAGCTTTTTAGTACAAATTTTTTTGTACTAGAAAGTCGTTTTTAAAGCAGTACGAAAGCTGTTCCAACCGAAGTCATAATTTTATAGAAAAGCAGTACAGAATAATAACTCACTATCATTTTTGAATCCTTACCCTGGAATGACACTTCGCTATATTTCCATTGATTGCAGTTGCCATATTTGTTGCCTGTCTTAGTGAAATTGAGAGCAAATGGGGATCAACCTGGTTGCAGGTGGTAAACAGTTAGTCAAAAGGCACATTTTGAATCTTGTTGATAGTGTTACGTTTCGTTTGAGACGGTTTTTTTATTGTTTTTTAAAATGAAGTTTTAGTAAAAAAAATTTACTAAAACTCCGTTTTAAGAAGCAGTAAAAAAACCGTCTCAAACAAATAATCTTAAGATAAAGAAGATACCTTGGCATGGTCAGTGATGGGAAGCCTGCACACAGCGGCCTGCAACGAGTCTTTGGTTGATGACAATGCTGCCAAGTGGTGCCTCTCCATTGTTCCCCATGTCTCAAGTGCCTTTGTCTGAGACCTCCCATTAGAAAGGTAGGTGGTACAGGAAATTTTAATCAGGAAATAAATGGCATAGTTTTTGAAAATATTTTGGGTCAAAATATCAGAGATGAGATTTAATTATTAAATTTATTTCGAAAAAATATAATATAATATTTATATTTATTTCACTAATCTTGAAATAAATTTAAGGATTTTAGAATTCTGATTAAAATTTGATCGAAATATATTGAGTCAAAATTTTAATGGTTTTTGCTAGTACATTGTTTATGAATAATTAGATACTTCTTATCAGAGTTTGATATTAAATATCTTGTTAATTTGACATGAAATTGCTGCCATACTCTTGCCGGCCAATCAAAGCAACCTGGGGATCCTTTTTCACTAGAACAAGTAGCCCCTGGATTATGTTATTTTGATTTTTGTTAGGTTTCTTTTGAAGAGAAAGTAATATTTTAAAATTATTTTAGAAAGTATTTTTTTTTAAGTAGCAAAAAACAATAGCAAAACAGAAATTGTGATTGTGATTTGAAAAAAAAAAAGTGTCCCAAATAAAGAGGATTAATTATTCTATGCGGACACCTAATGCTGTTCAGATGCAAATTATAGCATGCCACGTCACCTCTTTGTTGTGTATTGTGGCTATGTACTCGCTGTGTATTTGGTGACGTGGTGCGTTCTGATTCACCTTTTGACACAGAGCTGTCCAATGTCCAAACAAAGGCTTAGTGTTCGTTTGGGACGACTATAATTTTTTATAAAGATGATTGTAAAGTTACTATAGAAAAAGTAATTTTTTATAGTTGTTATAGAAAACAACTTGTAAAAAAAATAATTGGAAGCAGCGATCAAACAAAAGTTATGGTTGTATTTTAAAAAGTAAAGCATTAAAAAAGTTATCCCAAATTAAGTCTTAGGTTTTGTTTAGAACAAATTTCTTATTGTTTTCTAAAGCAGCTTCTTAGTAAAAAAAAGTTTTGAATTAGAATTTTTTATATTGAAAAATAATTTTAGAAAGTAATACGAAAGTTGTCCCAAACGAAACCTTAATCTTCAGTTATTGATCACAATACATGGCACAACATAATTTCATCGAGGATTAATTCGTTTGTTTACCTAAATAACCTTACTTATCCATCATTAATCTAATGAGTGCTATTAGTAATTTAAAAGGGGAAGCGCTATGGAGATGCCCATTATTCAACTTTCTTCTTGAAAGGAAAAATTCCTACAAACCTGGTGACAGACGAGCATGTTTAGCTTAAATTTGAGCTTTTCTTTTTCCAGCTGCGCCCGCTTTTTCGCCACTGAAGTACGCAAGTCCGACAAACCAACCAAAGCGTTCACCAACGTACTCTGCAATTAACAGAACATAACTATAAGAGCTTCGGTTGTGCTGATAGACTTTTTCTTATAAAATGGAAATTAAAAGAAGGGAGAAATTATTATGTGCGGTTACGGATCATCCGGAGGTCAATCAGGATGTGTCACATCATTTAGTAATGGGGCACATTCTGATTGGCCTCGGGACGAAATCCGCTGAAATCACGGTGAAGGGAAGTGTTTTTTTTTTTTCATTTTTGGACAAATCCTATGTCCATTTACTAATATGTAAAAAATATGAAATCGGGTCTGTAGTCGACCGAAGAAATTCTTTCCATCTCATCCGAACTTAAGAATCCCCTAACAGTAAAAAAAAAAAAGGTAAAGCAATTGTGACAAATGAAGCCTATTTCTGCAAAGCCTGCATACCTCCGCGTTGTCACACATGATCTTATTGACCACCGCCGTCCCCGCATTAACAAACCTCCACTGAATCAAATAGTTATGCAAAATCCTCAACTTATATTGCATCTCCCCGTCCACCGCAGCTACCGTCGTCCCTCTCGACGGCGACGACCCATATACCTTCGCCGTCACCATTCCCTCTCTTCCCGGCGACCCCATACCCTTCACCGTCGTCGGTCTCTCCCTTACCGGAGATCCAAACCCTGCCGCTGCTATCGGCTTCTTCACTGATTCCGCGCTTGAGCCTTGAAACGACTTCCTCCTAAACAAATTATTTAACCCCTGACTGATAAAATTCCCAACTCCACCGTTCTTCCCCTTCAACGGCGACACCGGCCTCCTAACCCGCGAGACTCTCGGAGCAGGACCCACGTTCTCGCTCTGTTCCGATTCTGTACTCGGGAAATCAACACCAAAATCCGATTTTTTCCTCGCAAGCGCGGCCTTGTTGATGGAGAACCGACCGGAGTGCGTCCGAGATGGTGCCGGCGGCTGCCCGTTGGAGGAGGAGGAGGAGGAGGGAGAAGGAGGAGTCCTGGGCTTCTTCAACGAATGTTCCACGTGGAACTTTCCGATGTGATACCGCAACGATCTCCTTCCCCTGTCTACCTTTTTATCCTCCGATGCAACGGCGGATTGGTCAGAGCGCTGTCGGGAGGAGAACGTGCTGACATTGTAAGTGGCTGATGCGTCGATGCGGTGGTCGTGGTCGAGGTGGCGTTCGAGGGGTTCGGAGACGCCTTCATCTTCGGCGTCGGCGGAGGGGTTGGGTTTCTTTGAAGACGGCCAAAGGACTCTACTTTGGAGATCTTCGGAGGAGTTCTGTTTGTGGAGACGGCGAGGGGATTCGGTGGTGGATTTCCTATTGGCTAGTGAAGTGGAGGACGAGGTGTTATTTGAGGTGCGATGAAGAGCGGAGTTGGATGGGCGGAGAAAGCTGGAGGAGTGGACTGGTGAGCTTAGGGAATCGTCGTCGGAGGTGTTGTTGAAGGGGGCGAAGGAGATGGATTTACGGCGGACATGGAACTTGTTGTGGTCGGACAAAGGAGATTTGGCGGCGGCGGCGGCGTTATTTGAGGTGCGATGAAGAGCGGAGTTGGATAGGCGGAGAAAGCTGGAGGAGTGGACTGGTGAGCTTAGGGAATCGTCGTCGGAGGTGTTGTTGAAGGGGGCGAAGGAGATGGATTTACGGCGGACATGGAACTTGTTGTGGTCGGACAAAGGAGATTTGGCGGCGGCGGCGGCGTTGGCGGCAATGTTGGCGCGTGGGAGGGATCGGCGTCTCTCCATGGATAATCCCAAAAATTCTAATAAATGACAACTCAAATTAAAATATTCATGATCCAAAATTTAAAGCCAAACACATAGAATAACATGGGTGTCTTTGAAATTTTTTAGAATTTTCGAAAATATCTCTACCTTTTATCCTTTGGGCCTCCAACATAATTGTTTAATTGACCCCAACCCCAGCTTGAAATTTTATCCTCACTCCTTTGATAACACTTCTTGAAAATCTAAATGAAATTCCCTACCATTATTTTAATCCAGATATTAGTTAGGAAACTCAAGCTCATACTATATAATTAACCTATAAGGGCTTTCCTTCGTAGGAGATTCAAGACGCCATAGGTTTAAAAAATCAAATTATCTTTGGAAAAATAAAAAATTAAAGATAATTTCATTTCATCATAATTGAATGATTTGATACTAAACGATTATTTTTCTTTTCTAGGGGGAAGATATATCATTGTATTTATAATTTTGATTATTGAAATAATTGATTATAATGTAGCATTATTCATAACTAAATATGTCGACCGAACTTCATTTTGGACCATTCGAGGTCATATGTAGTTTCATTCTTAAATTGGCTATGATATTTTCATGATTAGGAATTTATAATTTTTAAATCGGAACCCATTGGAAAAATTTTACTTTCGCCTTCCAATGCAGTATATCATTTCCAATGTTATGTTCAATCTCAGAATTAAAATCAAAAAGCCAATTCAATTTTCTCAAAAAAAAAAAAAAAATAAAAAAAATTTGCCTTTGCATCTTTTTCCAAAGCAAAACTTTCAAAAACACCACCAGATAGCAAACTGGAAAATGTATTATAACTGCTATAAGTGATGTCTAGATTTAACACTATTCATATGCGTCATATTTGGTATAGCAGATTCATTAATTCATATAGAATTACTCAACTAGAAAACCATATATTATATAAATAAACAGAATGAATTGCTCAAACATACCCCAAAACCATCTTCATTAGACTCAACAAATCATTCCTATAAACTCTTATTTTCAATTAATTTTTAAAAAACTTACTGCCTATGATACTAAAATGTTTATCACAACCCAACTCAATAAAACCCACAGATTAAGACACGACCTTATCAATTGTTAGTTTGCAATAGGCAAGCCCCAGCGATCTAAGTTTTTTAAAAACTTATCAAAAATTTTCATCTAATTTTACCTTTAAAAAAACAACATATCACAGCACTACTAATAATATTCAGGTTGTGAAAATAAACTCTCCATTATTTTTTTTATTTCATCCAAAATGTATATACAATAATTACTTATTAGTATATGACTTACCAGTAGAATATAAAATAGAGCAGAATAATATCTAGTCATGATTGTGCAAAAGTCAAACAAAAGAAATTATATAACATACTCCTATCATATATGAATTACTAACTACTCAGCTACTCTTTCCCTCTCTTAGACCAAAAATATAAGGCGAAATAACTAGAAGCTTAACATAGCTTAGTATTACCACATTTATTGATCTAAGTTTTCAAATAATTCATTTTTTAAATGTGCCCAACTTGAGTTTAAAATAATTTTAGTTAAATTCATGTATTGAAACAAATCGTACTTGCAATTATTAAAAGCTTATACTGTGGAGGTAAAAATAAAGCAAAACACTTTCTTTTATCAAAATTAGAGAGCGACAAATTCCCCTTAGGCCCTTATGCCTCCCAAAGGCTAGTACTAGAAACATAAATGTGTATATATCGCTATAACATGCATGTAGGCACCAAAGTATTGCCCTTAAAGTATTGCCTTCAAAATCTTGTCAGCTCAAATTGGATTGAATGGCTGCACTGACTTTCCAGGTGTTAAGGGGTAATGGTGGTCTAGGTTATAGAAGCAAGTAACCGTAGGTTTAGAAGAATTATAGTTGTGCGATGATGTTCGAAGATTGTGGTTGGGTCTGATGGACAATGAGGCGTTCATCGGCAAATGGTGCTCGGCGGGAGCTTTCAAGATTCTTCAACTAAGAGCTCTCTTGAATTTTAGCCCAAGCTCCAGCCGTTCCCTAATGTCTCATCATCAATAAGTAAGAACTCTTTTTATAGCTGTTTTGAGAATGACACGCTCCATAAATATAGAGAAAATCCAGAGCAAATTTCAAGGTACTCTATTGGATGACATATTGATTCCCTTTATCATAGGAGCATCCTCTCCCTCCCAATCCCTTCCAGTTTTAAGCATAAAGTGCCTAATGACATTAAAATTATAATTAGGAATGTGTTAAAAACAACAATCATAGAATATTAATTGTAGACGATTAATTCTATGGAAAAAAGCTATAATAATTCTAGAAGTATAGAGGTTCCTTAACACGGATCTTTTTGTCGTTTTGTTCGACCCATTCTCTTTTTGAAAGAGAGTAAACTGGAGACTAATGGGTTCAATATAGATATTATTGTTCCATATTGTGAACTACAGTTAGTTGATGTCACGTATTGACCTTAGTAAGTGATGGTTGCGTGTCCATATTAACTGGCGACTACAGACAACTAAAGTTAGCATGCGTTCAGCATGGTGTCAACAACGCTGCCATCGACCTTATAAGCGTTGGTTGCATCAAATGTTGTTTATAATGACGGATTGATGAATTCAGTGGGTGTCAAGTGTTAGCAAAGTTATGGTGATTGAAGAATTGTAGTATTGACAATGGTGATAGGAAAACTATACTGGAGAATAATGGTTAGAGGGGTAGATGTCTGACTATGGAGGTTAGATAGCTATGTCTGATATTAGTGGTCATGGGTGTTGGTTTGATGGTGTCAATTCGTTTGGCTTTTAGTATTGGCAGTGTTTTGTCAATAACATTTTGACGGATTAGTACGTAGGACGGTGAGTTAGAGATTCATTGTGGGGTATATGATGTCGTTAGCGAGGAAGATGTCAATAGTATTGGTAAATAGTAGAATGATTCAATGATTGGTAGTTTATTAAACGATGGTTCGATGGTAGTGGGTCGGACAATTGACAATCAGATGGTGGTGGAGAATTGATGATTGTAATGGACAACAGTCCAATGCCAAAGCTCTCTTCAATTTCAGCTAAGCCCGAGCTCCCCTTCTCCATATATCGAAATGAGGGTATAGTTATAAAATTTTAAGTATCACTCCTTGTAATTATATTAAAAAAAATCAAACCAATATTAATTTGTTGATAATAGCCTATCTTCAAATCTAAGTTAATTTAATTGATATCAAAAATAAACTATGTTGCGACTCATAGAATTCATCTCGGTGAAAACTCTTGATTTGACTATAATCTTTTATATATTTTAACAATTATTTAATTATTCAATTAATTATTTCAAAAGAAAAATTATTTAATAGCCATATATTTATTTCATAAGCCGCTCAATTCTACTGTAAATTTGCATTGAGATATCAGATTTATGCTTAATTGGTTGATTTTTCAACTAAGGCCTGAATGCAGAAATGAACGTGTAATTACTACAGGTAACGCCCTTCCTACTTGTTTCCCTCCGGTCTTGAGACCCCATCTTTCCTTCAAGCTCTTACCTTCCTTGCCCCCGTGTCCACCCAATTATCAAGAAGCGGCGAATACCAGTTACTACTTTTCTATCTTGTTGATCCGCTCGGAGAAGACACGCGAATCCGCCCCCCTATCGCTGCCAGAACTTGGGATCGCATTCCCATGGAAGTGAAAGTTGTGGAACGACAAAAGGGAGCGGGAGATGTATGACTCATTTCGCGGATCTCTAACGCCATCATCAAGACGACGGAGAAAACTCGAAAAGGCCTAGTCGTTGATCTGTCCCCTCCCCGACTACGAATCGGAATGCTCAAGCTCATTCGCCCAGTTTAAGACCCTTTTCCTTCATCCCTCCGCGGGACGCCCGTTCCTTCCATCGAGCGCTTTGCGGCGAAGCATACCGCGATGGACTGTCCCGCTGCTCTTCAACCGTTTTTTACTTTTTTTTTTCCCTTTTTTTTTTTTCATCTCATGTGTTCGGCCACGTCGACACCGCTCGTTCTCCTCGGCATCCACCGCCGGCCATCCGCTTCTTGCTTGTGGCGAGTGCGTTCAGCAACTTCATTTACTGCAATGATCGCTCAAGCTGAACATGGTTGCGGTGGATCAGGGGCATCCCTGGCTCGTCGATCTCTCCTCCTCGCTTGCGAAGCTGGGAACGGGAATTCTTCCGTCGGATTTGAGGGGAAGGCAAAGATGAGGGGAGTGGATAGCGAGGCTAGCGAAGATGGAGCGGCTGATAGCTAACGGAGCAGCAGGCGAGACAGCTGCTCTTTTGATCTTTGAGTCATTTTACAGTGCATTCATGGCGGACACTTCCAAATGGTGGCTCCTATTTTATTGGTATGTTCTTGCGCTCTTCGCGTTTGTTGAAGTTTTTTCGGATTATATTTGAAACCTTTTAAATGTGACATGCACTCTTATATATAAAGGTATGGTGAAAACACCATGTGCTTGACAATTAGCGAAAGAAGTTTGTTGGGTCCCTCCTGTGATTCAAGGCTGTACATTAGCTTACTGTTTTTAATCCGAAGGCCTGATATTTTCTTTTCTAGGATATAGCTATTCAAAAACATTAAGATTGTTTAGTAATTGAGCATTATCTATGTTTTATAAGATCTTTTTTTTTTTTAAGTTGGAAATAGTCCTTGTTCAGTAGATTTTGATTGACTTGAAGTTAACAACAAAATTTATTCGGATCTGGATTTGGAAGGTACTCTACAGAGTATTATGCAAAATTGACAAAGAATACACCACCGTAGCATCTACTGATTCATTTTTGTTTCTGAATAATTACGTTATCTAAACCCAAAATCTCTATTAGAACACAATAAGGTGAAACATATTATCGAGGATGCACAGTACTTAACGTGAAACTAGTTTAAATGCTAGTGTTTTCAGATTTTTTCCTTACATGCTTTGAAGAAGAGTTTGATGCACGTCTTGCATTAAATTATATTCACTTGAAGAAGAACTAA